TAAAGAAGAGTTTATTTAAATTATTCAAACTATAGAAAGAGCATTTTGTTTGTTTCTACCAAATCCTGACCAACAAATCCATCCCTTTCACCTAAGTGCTATCTATTTATCAGTGACACCCTATTCATGTGACCTTGGTGTGGGAAGGTTTCCATCATTAAGTACCACAAGGAGTGATCATTTACTTTCATTTGAAATATTTTCTGTGACCACAGGTTTAGGTATTTTTTAAAACTAATGTTTTCCCAAAAATATATATCTTTCATTTCAATTAAGGTAAATGCTTTTTACAGTTATGCACTTATTGCTTTTAAAGCTTAATATTTTATATACTAGAGGCCCATTGCACGAAATTCGTGCACTCAAGGGGAGTCCCTCAAACTGGCCTGCACCCTCTCACAGTCCGGGAGCCCTTGGGGAATGTCCAATTGATGGTGTAGGCCTGCTCACTGGGAGTGGGCCTAAGCCGGCAGTTGGACATCTTTAGCGTTGCCACCGCCACTGCGCTCGCCAACCGTGAACATGGCTTCTGGCTGTGCAGCACTCCCCCTGTGGGTGCGCACTGACCACCAGGGGATAGCTCCTGCGTTGAGTGTCTGCCCCCTGGTGGTCATTGCACATCATAGCCACCAGTCATTCCACTGTTTGGTCAATTTGCATATTAGCCTTTTATTATGTAGGATATAAATGAATATATAACAGAGATATAAAATTTATATCATGAAACCACAATACAGTCTAAGAACTAATTCATTACCAATTCCATTGCATCTTTTTGTATTTCTAAATCATCTTAATCATTTCTAATAATCATAACATTTGTATTTATCCAAATTCTGTAACTTTGCACAAAGCTTATTTTTATTTTATGATGTAAAACTGTAATGCTGGCCCTCACTCATTACATTGACAGGTAATGAGCATCCCTAGATGGAAAAATACAAATGCACAATGCAATACCTCTTTGAACAAGCTACATGTTTTAAAAGCTTAGGCATTTTTTTGTACTATTCCATAAACATGACTTCTGGAGTAACTAGAGATTAATTAATGTGCTTGTTTTTACCCAAAATATATTCAACCCTAAATCATTTAATCTTTCTCAGTTTACAAAATTGTGAAGCCTATAATAATACATTAGTTAGATTTATAATGTACCAATGTTGTCTAATCTTTCAAATTCACAGTCAAAATGTGGGAATAAATTATATTATATTGGGATAGGCTCACCATATTAAATGTTTAATGTCTCTTAAATAATCATGAAGCTTTCTATAAGTATATTATATTTCACAATAAAACTTTTTTTTGTTAATGTTGTAATGACCCAATTCTGAACCTGTTTCACCTTCCTCTTAATCTTTGGACTTAACTAATGTTGTTCCTACCAATGGTCATTTGGCCAGAGTAAGTATATGTATCAAGTCTGCCTTCTCAACTATTTTTGTAAGCATAACTGATAGCTGTTAAGTCAAAAAGATCCTTCAGTAGCCTCTCACATAGATTGGATGTGATGGTGGTTTTTAAATGTTTTATATATAGTATATAAAACTGAGTTATATCCATGTTTTATATTAGGAAATGTTGAATGGTACCTTTCTTTTCAAACTTATGTTATCTACCACACTCTTCCTGCATTCCTGAAATATAAACTGATAGTATCCTGGTTAGCCAAAGTGAGGACAAGGAATCAATTTCCTGGAGCACTGAACTCAATTTTCCCTTGACTTCCTCCAAAGCCTTCTTAGAAATAACTACACAGGAAACTTTACAGAGTGGAATCACTCTGATAAGTGACCTTGAGAAATTAACATGCTTTTCCCTCTTACATCCAAAAGTCACTCAGTTCTCCTGACATCCTAATTTAGATAGCAAGAAGAGACTATTATCTGAGTCAGAATAAATGCCCAACCAACAAATATTTGCTTTTACCTCTTAGAGAATACATTTGTATTTAATGGTTACAAAGCATACTCAATTTTATAAACAGCTCTCTATCTTGATTTTCCTTGTATATGTGTCCATTGTCAGCCATTTGAATTTCTAAAGACTTTCTGAAGTTATTTTTTGGGGCAGTCATCCCATTATAAAAAAGCTAACACTAGGAGAGTAGGCATAATGACTGTTACCTATGGGAAGCTGACTCATGAGTTTCCTGCTGATAGCATAAAAGGCAACCACCTTTTAACCAAGCACTCTGCCACTGTCTTCTTGCAGCACAAGTAAGCATACAACAGCCCGTCTTTTCCACTCTTTCCTTCTTATCACCTTCTTCAGAACACTTAATTGTGTATACAGATCAGGATCCCCAGTAATACATAGCCCTGCCTTTAAGATTTCTGACCCCCACAGAATCTAGAAATATGCATATTTATTTTCATCTTCAACAAACTGAAGACATCCTTTATTATACAGAACTTAGAGAATAAGTGTGAGGGGGAAAGTAGAACACAATGAACATTTTCTCCTCAGACTCCGAAAGTAGGGCCATAGCTTCTTGGCATACAGACTAACTTTCTACAACTGAAAGGCTCACTTCTGACTGTGAAGAGCTACGAATTCCCACCACCAACTCTTCCTAAGAGAACATATTAGTTGTATTAAATATATATTGGGGAAATCATATTTTGCTTATTTTAAGTAGGGCTCTATTGGAATAGAGCACCTGAGAAAAAGGAATTTTGCTTATGTTTTCCTGAAATTATATCTTTTAGTAAAACTTTTGGCTCCCACAGCTTCAACTGCTCACTGTTGTTTCTCTACTAAATGTGAAACCTAAAATAGTCATAATATCTAGTTGAGAAGTTACTGCTGCCTGGTTCCCATTCAAGTTTGAAGAAGGCTGAGGTTCCCTTTTTCAAAACACATGCCCAAAGTTTATTCAACACAATCCTTGGGCTCCACCTATGGGCAAAGAAAAGGGATGCTTTAACATCTATGTACCTATATGTATGCAAGAGAGACTGTCCCATGTGATGAAGTAACTTTCAGCACTACTACATACTCTTTAAGTTCCCAAACAGATCATCTGGTCAGACATTGACCAGACAATTCTAATATTGACTTCTTGGAAGAGCTACCCATTGTTTAGTCCTGAACCCTACTGGGAGATTTGGATATACAGTAGGTGCTTGTCTATCTGACATTTATTCCTTCAAAACTCTTGCATCTGCTGCAACTGGGAGTTTTTACCATTTTCCGATCAATTGCATAGTTCTCTATAAATCCTGTCCCTTGCCTTAGGCTTTTAGACCAGAACTTTTTGTTTTTCTCTTTGAAGAGATTAAAACTCTGCTGATAGGTTAACTTAATACCAACTCTAAAAGCAGAATTAACCCAGTAGGTATCTAATTTACCTTAAAGACAGCACCCTATATTTAGTATAAGTCCAAAATAAAAATCTTGCCAATTATATGATATATTGATAAATTTTAATAGCCTAAGTATGAAGCAGTTCTTTTTTTTCAAAATGATGTGTATTATTTTTTTCCCATGATATTTCAAGAAGGTCTGTAAAGACCAGATGGTATATCTGTGCTACAAATGTAATTTTTCTTGACTTGCCTAAATATACTTATTTGTTGAAATGAGAGGAATATTCTTTTTTTAAAATCTCTTATCCTTGCCCTTTAAAAAAATAACAGTTTTATGAAGATACAATTCATATACCACAATTCACTCATTTAAAGTATACAATACAATGTCTTAGTATATTCACAGGTATGTACAATAATCACCATAATCAACTTTGGAACATTTTCATCACCTCACAAACAATCCCTCTCCCCTTTATCTGTCATCCTCCTATCCCCTCATATCCCCACTTAGCCTTAAGTAACCAATGGTCTACTTTCAATCTCTATAGATTAACCGATTCTGGACATTTTATATAAAGGTATCATGTGTGATCTTTTGTGACTGGCTTTTTCTACTTAGCCCTTTTCTTATAGTCACTACTTTTTTTAGGTTAATAAAGGCAAAATCAAGGCTAAAATTCAAATGGAATGGTAAGGAAGCTCTTGTCTTTGCTTTTCTCTTCATAAGGAAAAAAAAACTTTATAAAAATTTCATGTTTATTGTAGAAAACTTGGTCACTTTCAGAAAAGTATATAGCAAAAGGAATAAAAATCATATATAATTCTAGCACACTGAAATAACAGATGCTTTATTTTTCATGTATGCCTTTCCTATCTTTTTCTATTGATACTTATGCATATGTCTACATGTGCAATTCTGCATGTTTTTAACTATATGAGTTTTCCTGTGTCAGTGAATCTTCTTCATAAATATTAGTTTAGCCTACATAATGTTTTATCATAAGGCTACATCTTCGTATATTTAAATTTCTATGTTATTGGTCTTTTGATTTCTTCCCATTTCTCACTAATGTAAGCAACTCTGAAATAAGCATGTGCATAGAGATTTGTGAAATAAGCCAGTCAGAGAACAACAAGTACCATATGATTTTACTCATATATGGAATTTAATAAAATGAACTAACTAGCAAAATAGAGACAGACCAGCAAGCTGACAGCCTATTATAGGAGAGGGGCTGGAAGGAGGTAGAGGGATTGAGCAAAAAAGAGGAAAAAGTCTTAGACATAGAAAAAAATATTTATTCATTTTCTTAACAGATTTCTAGAGGTAAAATTACTGGGTCAATGGATATGAAAATGTTTAATAATTGGCTTTTTAAAGTCATTTTTGGGTTGTCAAAGGATTAATGACATGTCAACTTAAGCACATCTTTGATGATTTTGTATAGCTACTCATATTCAAATAATCTCTGCAAACATTATTAATGGACTGAATCTAATATTTCATTTCAGATGCTAGGATTCATCTCTTCCTTCTGTCTCCTATTCTGTGGGTTAGAAATCAGGTCTGACTGAGCCCATATACAAGCCTTGTCAGGCAAGCACATATGCTCATCTTGTCTATGACTGCCTGTTTAAAATTAATCTCAACAACCGTGTTTTGCTTCTTTTCTCTTCTTTCAGATGGAATGGGTCGAGTCCTTGCTCAAGATGTATATGCAAAAGATAACCTACCCCCCTTCCCAGCATCAGTAAAAGATGGCTATGCTGTTCGAGGTAAATATTTTGGCTTTCTTGAGTATCATCATAACTCACACTGTGTGTTTTTTCAGATTTTTGGCTCAGCCTGGGCACCCAACAACTGTTAAATCTGTTTCCCCCTTGGTTGTCAAAATAATTTTATTCATAGATAACAAAAGTAATCTACATCTATCTATTTTCTGACACAATCTTGTTTAAAGCTTTTTAGTGAAATTACTAGTTACTTAAAAATTATTATTTACAATTATATGTAGAGATTGATATATAAAAAAAAACACACTATACTATAGTTTATTCTTTTAGCCTTACACATACCAGATAGTAGACAGTCTTACTTTGTCTGGATGTTTTTTGCATGTTTTTTAGTTGAAAACATCTATATGGTACAAGAAAGAAGAGCAGATTCCCAACATAGGGATAAAGTGGGGTGATGTTTTCTCTTGCTTTAAACTCAAACATCAATAAAGGCTTCATAAAAAGCAAGCATGAGGGAAACCTCTAATTCCTGGGAAGATGCCATATTTCAAATATCTAAAGCTCCAGATGGTACCAGGCAGCTCACACCTTTGGAGTTACCCGAGATTACGTAAAACTTAAAAGCAAAAAAGAAATAGTATTTACCTGTCTAAAGTCCAATCTAAGAACCCTAAATGAAAATGCAACTGAATTGCTTAGAAACTATTATTGGTTATTAACTCAAGGCTTATGTCATTGAAGAAATGTCTAAAAACATTTCCCAACTTATCAAAACTGTTAAGAAGGCCAATTCCTTTTTTAATGATCATTTATGGAGTTTCTTGCTGATTTTTGTCATTATTTTCTTTTTACTCTAACTACTAAAATAATTTTCTATTTTTTGTAAAGAAATATATTAGTTAATCTCTATGTTCTATCACCATCTCTTAGAAGTATCTTTTTATGTTGGAGGCAGTATAGTAAGTGGTTAAGGGTATGGGCTTTGAGCAAAGAATGATCTGGGTTCTAGTACCAGTTCCATTGATTTAACTTTTAGCAAATTACCTAAACTTTTTGAGCCTCAGTTTCTCATCTGTAAAATGGTGATAATTATAACAGTTCTTACCCCAACAGGTTGTTGTGAGGATTAAATGAAACTATAAAAATCCTTAGTAAAGTTCCTGGCACCAAAAAGAGCATTCAATAATTGTTTTTAATAATCATATCTATTATTATCACTACTGTTATTATGATAAACACATTGACTTATACAATCTCTGAAAAAAGTATAACATTTCCCTAAATTGTTAATCTCATATTCTGTGTAAATAAAATGGTGAGGGGATTAATTCCTACTAGTTTATACTGTCTCAGGAATACTATCTTGGATGCACCTCATTCTGCTTGATCTCACTAAATTAGAGTATTTCTGAAAACATAAATAATAAATCCCTACCAAATTTTTCCCAATTAATTCCTTCTACAGAGTTTATTATGTAATGCATATTGTCCAGAAATAAAATTGTTTTAATCTTCTGATAGCCTCATTGGCTCTTTTTGTTTCTTATTCCCAATCTAAGATATAAATTTTGTTTTGAACTTATAATTAACAGCCATACAGTATTACTATAAAATCACAAATAATTCTTATTTCCAGAATTGAACAAACAGCTACAACAAATGAAATACCAGAGGGACAAGAAAGTCTATTTTTTACATGCTTTGTAATATAAAGTAGGAGAAAGTAAGAAAATAAATTATTTGAGGCAGAATTATTCTCAAACAGAATGTTGTTCTATGATTTTTGCATGAGATGTAACAGCTTAATAAAAAGAAACTATTGCTCTTAGCTTTTCTAGTTGCCAGAAAGAGCAGTTAGCCCACATGAGCCATAAAAAGAGCCTTTGTGCTGTAGAATCTATCAAAGAAATTTTTATGTGAAGTTACCATTCAGTATCTTATTTTTCTTTGTGTTTTGAAGTGATGGTATTTTAGTTATTTTACACAGAGAAAAAACATCTAAAATGACATCTCACAGTATAAAAGTTTCAACAGATTATATATCATGCAACTTATTCATATTATTTCTTTCCTGTGAAGTATTGAGAGTTCTCTAACATATAGACCATTTAACAGAGACTTAACACATAACATAACATTGTGGATATAGTTAAATCTCAAATTGGGAATGGTTGGTAAATCTATGTGTGTGTGTGTATATATATATATATCAATATCATACTTAAAGTAGCAAAAGTCATCAGTAAACAAAAAGACATGGTCTTAGGCTTTTCTGTGTTACAATGCCACCTCCCAGTCATTGTCTTGGTAAAGAATTTCCTGGAAGCTATTGTTGTGGTTCTTTACCACTCTACTTCGTGTCCCCTCTTCTCTCCACCCTGTCTTCCTTTACTGCCATTCTTTCCTCCCCACTCCCGTTATTCTCCCTTTTTTTCTTCTCCTCTGCCTTTGCCTTAGGCCTTCCAGTAATAACCAGTGGCACCTGTGAGCATTGCTAACCCTCTAGGTGTAAAGAGGTTGCTAACTTGCTCTGGATCACTAAGCATTAGCCAGTATCCTTCAGAAGCATGTGGCATAAAACTCCAAACCAGTTGGAGGATCACTTGCTTTAAGGTATGTGGGTTGAAAGAATCAAGACAGTAAAAAATGACTAAGGAAATGAGAAATAGGAACAACTTTTTAAAAATAAGATAGATTAGAATGTAAAGAAGGCAAGAGTCAGTGATGATGATTTAAATAATAGGAAGAGCTGTGACCTTATAAACCTAAAACTGCATTCAGGACAGAGTAAATTTGAAAGGTAAAAGAAAATGAAACCTTTTTTATTTATGATTTATCAGTATAAGTTAGATATCATATTCTTCATATTTTTGAAGAGTTATTTCTCCCTTCATACTGAGTAAGTCAATCATTTTGATGCATTCACACCCTCCTGGAGAGATGTGGGTAGGTGCTCATTGTCTCACAATTTTTTTTTAAATTACAGTTTACTTCAATATTATTTTGTGTTGATTTCAGGTTTACAGCTTAGTGGTTAGAGTCTAACCGTTAGACAATCATATACTTTACATAGTGTTTCCCTCGATATTTTCAGTACCAAACTGGCACCATACATAGTTATCACAATGTTATTGACTATATTCCTTATGCTTTACTTTACATCCCTGTGACTGTTTTGTAACTACCACTTGTACTTCTTAATCTACCTTTACCTCTTTCTCCCAGTCCCCCAACACTCTTCCCCTTTGGCAACCAACAGCCTACTCACTGCATCAAATTTTGTTTGTTCATTTATTTTGTTCTTTAGATTTCACATATAAGTGAAATCATATGGTATTTGTCTTTCTCTAACTGACTTATTTCACTAAGCTTAATACCCTCCAGGTCCATCCATTCTGTCTTGAAAAAAACAAATGTATATGGAACCACAAAAATCCCAAATAGCCTCAGCAATATTGAGAAAGAAGAACAAAGTTGGAAGTATAACACTACCTGATAATCAAACTATACTATAAGGCCATAGTAATAGAAACAGCATGGTACTGGTATAAAAACAGACATATAGATCAATGGAACAGAATCGAGAGCCCAGAAATAGACCCATGCCTATATAGTCAATTAATATTTGACAAAGAAGACAAGAACATACAATGGGGTAAAGATAGTCTATTCAATAAATGGTGTTGGGAAAATTGGACAAGCAAAAAAAACAAAAATACTAGACCATCTTCTTACACAGTTTCTTCTTAGATGTAATAAAGGAAAAAATGTCTCAGAATTCCAGGGTCAGCTTTCTTGAAAATGTTCAATATGAAAGGCTTATCCCTTCAGAACTTGTTTTGGGATTATTTAGAAAAAGGAAAAATTATGAACAAGCCAGTAAGTATTTTGAGAACCACATGTTGCAATCAATTCTGGAAGGATATATTGAAAGAAATCTTTGCCATTTGGGTAAAGTAAATTTTAAAAGATTTTTTCTGTTTTAATTTCTGATTGAAATATTTGTTTTTGGAAACTATAGAAAATAAAAAAGAACATCTCAAAATTGCCCATTTTCTCACTGCCCAGCCACTATTATTATTTTGTTGTACTTCCTGGCAGTAGATTAAACTGTATACTAAAATTCAGTATAACCTTTTTTTAATTTATGATTTATCAGTATAATTTTTTTATTAGAGCTAATTCTTAGTCTTTCATGAAAGCCATGTTACAGGGTTTTTATTTTGCCCATTCAAAACCTTTTTGGCCACAGCTGGTTCTCCAACTCATTTGACAGCCTATTGCCTCCACTATAGGACACTTCAGATGAAGAAGAGTATTACTCTTCTTACTATGATATGGGAGTATTACTCATGTGAGCAGAGAGATAATTTGGAATAATTAATTTTAGTTAAAACTGTATTTAAGGAATATCTCTTTTCTCAATACTAAAAATAAATGGGCATTTTTGTAAATTATATAAAATGCCGTCTCACTCATCTGTTCTACTCCCTAGCTCCCTGCTCTCCATAAGAAAAGACAACAGACTTAAAATTCCAAACAACTCACCTGATTTAATCCCTCAATATAATTGCAGCAAGTATTAATCCTGTTGTGCTAGTCTTGTCACCTTCTCTTTCTCCCACCCCAACTCTTTCTATAATCTTAATTTTACTATATACATAAATACTATTGCCCTATTGTCTGTCATCCTGGTCTTAGTGTGCTTCTGTTATCAAAGTAAATAAACCCCTCTGCCTTGTTCCTCTGTTGAAGATATTTCCTAGGATCTCTGAAAGGTATGTGATCTCTGCAGTCTTTTTTATTCAGTCCTAACATGGAAATGATGAGACTCTTTATTATTGGAAATAAATGAATAAAGTGTTTCAGGAGGCTTAAAGAGAGTTCACATATGGCTGGAAAATGAAAATAAGTAATAATTCTATAATAAATGACTTGGGGAACACTATTTTCTATACATTGCCACAATGAATAGTTATCTAATGGTATCAATTTTATATAAAATGACATCAGAAATCTTTACATAAACAGGTAAACAAGACTAAAAAAAATCTGGACATTAAAAGCTTCAGAATCTAGCATTAAGTGTAATGAATTATATGATGCATTTGCTGTTAGGATTGGGTTTATATTGCTTTTAGCACTTCCTTCTAATTAAATTCAACAATTACAAAACAAGAAAGTTTATTAACTGAAATGTCAGAATTGGCAGGGGGCAGAGATCCTAAGCCTTTACAGAAATCCTGGGACTCCATCTTTTCTGATGGCATACTGTAGCTTAATTTTTTTTTAAACTTTAGGTTCATATACCACCGTTCCTCCACTTCAGCCCCCTCACACCTAAGCTTGTAGAATTCATCTTGAAAATGGCAACTTTTCTTTTACTTATCTCTTTAATAGATATTTTTTCAATAAATATCAGCAATTAGATAGATTGGTTATTATTTTTCTATCTTTATAAGAAATAGTGAGCCTTGGCATTAATGTAAAATCAGAACTTCTGTTGTTGTTCACTGCTTTTTTTATTCCTTAAGTTTTCTCTTAGTCGGAATGTGTCTATATTCAGTTCAATCTTGTCTGCTCCTCAACAAGAATAGTCCATGAACCAGCAGTAGCAACATCAGCTTTCTCAGCAGTGTAGAACCTCAGGTCCTATCCTGGACCCACTGAATCAGAATCTGTATTTTAACAAGATCGCCAGGTGATTTATATGCTCATTAAGGACTGAGAAGCACTATTGTAAGGGAAATATAATTTTTAAAGAGACTCCTCTTCATTCAAAGAGCCTTATATTATGTTGGTTAGCTGAGCCTTCCTTAGCCAGCAGTATAGAGGCCTGTTTCCCAGGGCAAGGTGGAGAACACAGTTTAAGTGACCATGTATTCTCTCCCCAGTTAACTCACAGTCCCTAATCACAAGGGATCTTGCTGCTTAGAATCACTTGAGGGCTCTTTCAGATGTTGGCCTCCCTGGCAGTCTATACCAGACTCGCCCCAGATGATCTCCAGTCACTCATTATTCAGTAACATTTATTTAGAGCATTTGTGTAAAATATTAATGTAAGCATTTTAAGTGTATGTGCATTTCCATGTGTAGGGGAACAGGAGACAGGAGGAAGATTGAAGAGCAGAGGGTTTCAAAAAAGAAATGAAGGAAGTGATCCCTATTTTTACAGAGCTCATTTTAAAGTATTTTAAAAGATTTACAAAACACAATAGTAACACATACAAGTCAGTTTACAAACTTTCCGCCTATTATGGAAATGCCAAATTCATTTCTTTATTCTTTTAACAAGTATTTATTGAGCATCGTGATGAGGTAGTCATAACCTTGACTGAATAACAACATAACCTAAGTTATATAGAATTAAATCAGAGCAGTCTTTCTAAATATCGAAAGATGGTGAATGTTGACACACATTTTAAAGACAGTATGCCTAGCAGAAAATGAAAGACATTCAAAATACAGCATTTTGTGTTGAAAAAATATTATTCATTCAGTCACTCATGCATCTTTCTAAAAAGATTATTAATTTATTCTTATTTATTGGACACTTTGAATACTTCACATATTGAACATTTATAGAATACCTATTATGCAGCAAGTTCTAGGGATTCCCCCTGAGGCAAATAAGCAAATAATTGCAAATACATTAGGAAGCCATATTAGAGTTATTTCAAGAATACTCTGGAGAAACAAAAGAGAAAGTAGGTGACTCTTGAGGATTCGGAGTCAGATATGACTTCATAAAGAAAATGACATTTGAACTGAGTCTTAAAAGCTAAGTCTTTCATCAAAGGCGGGAATAAAGAAAGGACATTCCAAGCAATGGAAGTAGCATATGCTGTGGAGCTGAAATATGAGTCATCCTTAGGAGCAACAGTACCAGAACTGGAGAATGGCTAAAGGGTAAGATATAAGGAAGACATGAACCAGAGGCCTTTATACATACTGCTCTCTAGGTGAGGAACTTTATATGGAGCATTTCCACCTCTCTCTCTCTCTCTCTCTCTCTCTCTCTCTCTCTCTCTCTCTCTCTCTCTCTCCCTCTCCCCCCACCCCCTCACACACACACTCCTACCTTTTGCCTACTTAGCTTTATTCATCCTTCATATTCTAATAAAAAATCCTCTTATTAGGGTAACTTTCCTTGACCCTCCAGTGTACTTCCATTACTTTCGTTGTGTACTGTCACAAACCATGTTCCTTTAGAGTGGTTTTCTTAATTTGTGCTTATATATTAATTAATATGATTAATATGGTTAATATCTATTACATCAGTGGCTTGAAGAGTTTTATTTTAACCACACTCATAGGAAGACACACATTAATTCTCTATGATAGTGTAATGGTGGATACGAGACACTATGCATTTGTCAAAACTCACAGAACTGTATAACACAGAGTGAATCTTAATGTAACCTTCAGACTTAAATTAGTAATAATGTATTAATATTAATTCATCCATTGTAACAGATATACCTCACTAATGCAAGATATTGATGATAGGAGGAACTATGGACAGGAGCAGGGGAGATATGGGAACTTTGAACTCTTCTGTGCAATTTTGCTACAAACCTAAAACTGCTCTTAAAAATAAAGTCTGTTTTTAAAAGAAAAAAAAAAGAAAAATTAAATACAGTATACATTACAAGCCAATGATATACACACATATATGACATATATAATATCTACAAATATATATATGCACACATATAAAAATAAGTTTCCTGAAACAGTATTTATCCTTACCATGTGTGATGAAATATATTTTCTATTCTTTTTAATTTAAAAAACAAACAAACATTGTTTACAGGTTGATTTTAGGGCCCACTTCCATTTGTGATCCAGAGTTTAAAATACATTACAACGGACTGGCACCACACTAGAATTGAAACAGTGTCTGGTTTTACTCTTTACTCTACCTCAGCACTTCGATGACACTTAGAAATTTAGTGAATGAGTGAAAGGAATGAAAAGCTTTAAAAAGAATTAGTATTTTTAAATGATTATCCCCATTTTTATCAACAAGAAAACTGTGAAGGCTAGAAAAAAGTTTAGTAATTTGCTGGAAGTCCTGAGGCTAATAATAGGCAGAAGCAGGATTCAGCTTTGTTTTACTCTAAAGCCTTGCTAATTTTCCCTTGCCCAAAGAAGTAAAAAGAGAAAATGTCTAGGTTGCTACTGGGAGATGGCAGGCTGGTAATATCTTTACTAGAAAAAATAATTAAAAACAACTTATTCACATTTGAGATGCATTTAGTGCAGAATTCTGAAAGCTAATTGACTTTTTAATTTTCAACAGTAAGAAAATAATGATTTGCTTTAAAATTCTGCCAAAATAAGTGAAGGAATAGATGAGACAAGATTGGTAAAATGTTGATAATTGTTGAAGCAAAGACTTTTATGTTTGTTTAAATTTTTCACTTCAAAAAAAGTTTTTTTAAAAAAGAAGAGCCCATGAAAACAGCATAGTAAGAATAGCATTACAGGAAAACTGTTCTCTTTTTTACAAGTGAATGCTGAAAATACTATAAGATTAAAAACAAACAAAAGAAAGTCAAGAGTTTATTAATAATATAATGTTATGAAGCATGAGATACAATATCTTTTACGTAGAAGATACCCAATGTTAATTCTTACCTCCCTCCACAATAGGTCAACCAAAGCCTGTGCGAAAAGAGTGACTCATTTAAACATTATTGCTTACAAGCCTTTAGTAAAAAAAACAGTGTTGTAGTCACATAGAGAAATAATGAATTTCACATGTCCTTTTTAAAATAAGGAAAATACTTTTATTATTTATCAGCATGATTGCAAATGTAATTAAAATAGTATTATAGAAAGTGTTATCTTTTCTGTGTATGTGTCCTACACCCTTGCTGTATACAGATAACATGAACTAATGGTCCTGATCTTAAAACTTATTAGGTAGATATTGCCTTACCAGTCATATTGGTCTGAAATCCACATCATATGTGAAGAAAACCCTTTTGAATGTATTTATTTCTAGGAGTATTTTTATCCAGTCATTACTATACTGTATTCAGAAAAAAATGGATAAGAAGGTTTTTTCAATCTCAATAGTGAAAGGGTTTCTTCCAATTTAAAAATAATTAATGGAAAAAATGTGATGCAGCACTGCCTATACATTCTGATTCAGAATAATATACATTGACCCATTATAAAATACACACACACACACACACACACACACACACACACACACACACTGTACTGGAAATTAAGAGACTGGATTTTAGTCCTAGCTCTACCACAAGCCAGAACTTGTTCAATGTACTTAACCTTTTCTACCTGAATTCCTTTATTCTGTAACTCATTTCCTTCAAATGCCAAAAGGAGAAAAGAATGTTATGTTCTTCCTACTTCACTGGGTAATTATAAAGATCAAACTGAGTGATAACTTTTTTTAAAATAGTATGAAATAGTTAAAAATTTTATAGAAAATGGAGAAATGTATAGTAATATCCATGAGTGGCACACACACATCACAAATGCATACCCATGAATAAGGTGGTATTCATTAGGAAGATAGACAAAAAGAACTTCCTATTTTAAAAGTACATGTTTGGAAATTATCAAGCAAGAGGAAGACCATCTCAAGTGACACCAAGAAAGAGCATGAATTAGGAACATTTCTATTGGTACTTGTGAGTTTGGAATACCAAACCAGGAGTACTAGTAAAGCCATTGTTTCATCTAGGAGATTCCACTTTCCTGAGGCCTATCTGATCATTTGAGTCAAATTTTAGAATTCCAATAGTAGGTTTTTATTCCTTGCTATAGGTCCATTCTGATTCTTGGTTCTGTTCATCTCACAGCTGCTGATGGCCCAGGAGATCGTTTCATCATTGGGGAATCCCAAGCCGGTGAACAGGTAGATTCATAGGCCTGACAGGCCCTAAAGAGTTCAGTTTCATGCACTTCCAGGATCTAATTCTAAGTTTAAACCATCACTGTAAGGGAAATCTTAAAGAGGGATTAGACACGTTATTAGAGATTAAAGGAGAGTTCCCATGAGAAGAACCAATTCTTTCTTGCTGTAAGAATCTGCATCTATTAATATAGGGCGTGGAGTTGTTGTCATGTCTCATAGACATGCCCACAAACATTTTCCAGCCCTTGATTGGATGATTCTTTCTTCCTGTATAAATATCAATGAAGTGTTTTAAAAATTACATGGAATGTTCAGGGAACTACAAATTGTTTGTAGTAGTCAGAGCCAGGTATTACCTTGGCAGAAGATTACATTAAAATATAACAATTCTGAATGAGCCTGCAATGTATTTTCAAATAGCAGAATAAGGGGATACATAGTACAATCCCAAGAATCACTTTCTCCAATAACTGTGAGAAAAGCAGGGAGAACACTGGAGTTGTAAGTCACAAAGGATTGTATACTTCATGTAGTTGTTGTGATAATGAGATTATTCATGTTCATTTATTCATTCTGGAAATATTTATTGACTACCAACTTTGTGCCAGACACTTTTGAGACTTTGGAATGGTAGAGCAATAAATATGTCTGGAAAGAAGTGATTAAGAAGAGTAATGTGGGGACTATCCAAGATATAGATGGGTTAAGAGAAACTAACGAAGAAATGTGAAGCACCCAGGGGATAACAGTGAAATTCCATTACGATCTCTATGTCTGAAGAAGTGGACCTGTGGAGATTCATAGCTATGGCTCAGGGTCACCTGTCAGTGATAGTGATGACCTGGCCTTCACCAAAGTGCAGCCCATTAGGGAAAGAGCAAAGGGAATATAAACCTGCTTTTCTCTTCTGCCCTCTCTCTCTTGTTGACCCCTCCCATTGGCTTTACCTAACCAGAATCCAGTGATGGAAACCTGGTTGAAATAGTCCATTAGAGGTCAGTCTTCTGGGCCGCAGCACAGGATGGTATGATGATGTGATCTGGAGAGGCAAACAGAAAAATAAAACAAATTCCTATCTTTGTTGAGCTTAGATTATTATATAAATTGAATGTAATAATGCACTTAACACTGTACCAAACATAGATTGAGGGTTCAATAATATTATCTATTAGTGGGATTGTTTGTAGTGATAATATTGAAAAAAGCTTTTTAAAGCTGTTCTAATAAATAAATTTCCAGTTTTACTCCATATGTATATCCAGTGGAGAGGTATATATCCTTAGCTATTCCCTAAAATGTTTTTAATCTGTTAAAAAATGCATAACTTAAAATGTACCATCTTAATCATTTTTAAGTATATAGCATAGTAGTGTTAAATATATTCATGTTGTGACCTAAAATTTTAGTATATGTACTGCCGAAGCAAGCACATAACCTAAGATTTTAAATAAATAATTATGATGCAGGTATCTTTGGAAAGATACTTATTTTTAAATGTTTTTATTGATTTCAGAGAGAGGAGGGGAGAGGGAGATTAATGATGAGAGAGAATCATCTATTGGCTGCCTGCTACACGCCCCCACTACTGGGGATTGAGCCCACAACCCATCCAGGCATGTGCCCTGACTGGGAATCAAACCATGACCTCCTGGTTCATAGGTAGACACACAACCACTGAGTGAGACTGGCCAGGCTGGAAAGATTTTTATTAGGGAATTAATATTATCTCAGAATTTTATCTTCGAGGAAGTTGGAAGCATTTTTCCTCCCAATTCTGACCTAAATCATGGCCAATGACAAGTTATTCATCTGAGGCCAGATCAAACCTATCAGATGGATCTTATAAAAATATGCTTTTTCCTATGCTAGGAGAAGTTTACCAGGCAGGTCCTATAATTGGTCTCCTACCATTCCTATGAGAGTTCAGACAGTGAAAATCTCAGATATAATGTTTCATCCAAATTATTACAGGCACTACAATCATTTTGAAATTATCTAATTACATTTGGTAGAAAGATTTTCAAGAGCAATAATTTAAATAATTTTTCTGACTTGCCTATATTTAACCAAAAAGTTTAGTTTTAAGTTATGACATTTCTCAAATATCAAAACTTCAGTAAATGTCTAATGTGCTGGTTTTTCATAATTGTCATGCATAAAATCATTTTGCATGGCATTTTTTTCTTAAAGACTCTGAAATCACTTTATATATATTTTAAAAATTCACATTATTTGAGCGAGAGACAATAATGGCACGTGTAAGTGGCAGTTCTTCAAAAGGAAAACAGGGTACCACAAAAGGCATCTAATGGTCATTACGATAAATCAAGTTAAAGCCTCTTAGAGTGTACCTGTACCTGTTTGTGACTAGCTTTCATTACATTGGCCCAAAATGAACAAGACTGTATGATTTTCCTTTTATGGTTTGTTTCTAAAAATGTTACATCTCCTACAGGAAAATGTTAGTTTTACTTAACAGCAGTAAAGTAAATCACCTCTTTCTTACATGTTTGTGTTTCCAGCCAACTCAGACAGTAATGCCTGGACAAGTCATGCGGGTTACAACAGGTGCTCCAATCCCCTGCGGTGCTGATGCTGTAGTACAAGTAGAAGATACCGAACTTATCAGGGAGTCTGATGATGTACGTTATCACCAGGTCTTATCATTACATTCCTATGGTAGTATATTAAGTCATATCCATTTTCTGGAATGTTTATGAGAATAACCCAGTGTCTTTTGGTTATGTTAGGATCTTACAATGTAGTGTATGAGTCTACACTAAATAATGAATTGCCTTAGGCTTGAAAATCTCTTGTTATAGGAGACATTTTTATGATTACAGACAGTCCTCGGGTTACGTCGGACTCAACGTACGTCGTTTGGTGGTTACGTCACCATCTCCCTTTTTTTTTTTTTAAATTTCTGTCATTCGATGTATGTACATATGTGCTTTATGTTTTTTATTATTTATTTACCACAAGTAAAGGTCAAATTTTTTTACTGTTTCACTTCATTACTGCTGTGTATGTGCTCCATGTGAGTGATGTAGGTGCTTATGTAGGTCGGTTCCGACTTACGGTGAAAATCGCGTTACGTCACGCCATAGGAATGGATCTCTGACATAACCTGAGGACCCACTGTATTACTGTGATTATAGCAGAACTTGAACCACATTGATTCAAGAAATATTGCATGCAAACAAGGAAAGAAACTACCTCAAGATAAAAGATAGAGGTATTAATTGTTAACATACCTTCTAGCTAAGGAGTTTGTTAACAGACACTAGCTTCTGATAAAATGTAAAGGGAGACTTAATAGAGAAAAATTTAACAAAGAACACTTGGGCAGGTTCTTAAATATTACACTAAGCCAAACAATTGAACAAAATAACATTCAGTTCTAGTATCTATATTTCAGAAAAATCTGTGCCACCTAGTGACAGCCTGGAAATATTAAATTGATACCAGTTTCCCCCTCTATTGCCTGAAATAAAGGACCATGGGATCTTTTTTGGTCTAAGCAGGCCTTCATGTCACTGAAACTAGTGGCAATTATTACAGCCAGAGGATCAGCCACCAATAAAAGAATGGTTTCAACTGAAGTCTTAATGACTGGCTATCTTACTTATTTTGTGAAGAAGTTTAAGGTAGCTTATATTTTAAAAGCTGAAGTTAAAAATAACAATATTCTCCTGGTCTGGCATATAGTAAAATTTGGTCATGTTGAGAGACCGCCACTTTTCTTGATCTGGGAATTTTTTAAATCATCTTATCACATCTTATCACACTTCATCTTATAAAGTTCAACTCTTGGCATACAGATCACATTGCTTGCTGTTAAAACTGTCCAGCAGATTTATTGGTATCAGGAAGCCAACAGAACATTGAAATGCAGAACACATGCCTCCACAGACTCTGCCAGATGACAAAACCCAGTTCCAGTCTCACAATATTATTCACAGCCCATAAATGTAAAATTGATGATCACTATTCATTTATAGAAATTTACTACCAGGCAAACTGTAAGTCCTTCACGGAAATTTCTGCAGATATTTGGGAACCTTGGTATAGTATTAAACCCATGATTCATGGGAACAGAAGAGATAGGTTATCTCCTTACACATTCATTGGGTCTAGTAACTAGGGTAACCAAATACATATACAAGGTGGGGCAAAGGTAGGTTTAGAGTTGTGAGTATGCAAAACAGTTTATTCTTACATTATTATTTATTAATTGTATTATTTTTCCATACAAACATTACATATAAATAATATATATAAAATTATTTTTCCTTGAGAATGCTACTTACGAAGTAAGATTCAGAATTTTAATTGGTATATTTTTTTAAAGTGTAAAAATATTTTATTTAGTCCTTGGCATCAAACCTAATTTTGCAGGAACCTATGGTAGAAATTTATCATGTCAAAGTGTTTAGCAAATGTTTTTTTGTTTCTCTTTATTTGTATATATTCTGGGCCTATCTGATGTAGCTAAATTCCATTGATCAGAAATTCTGTTAGACTGTCCTGTTTGAAATTGCACGACTTCCTCTTATTATAGGGCACCGAAGAACTTGAAGTACGAATTCTGGTGCAAGCTCGGCCAGGCCAAGATATCAGGTAAGTCATAACATATAAAATGTATAGCCAACTTTTGTTTCTGCATGTTCATGAACTCAGGAAAGAATGGCTATCATAAATCCACAGTTCAGTCAACCATTATCTTTCAGGTTTTTTAACAAGTAGGAAATGAATTTTCTGAACTCTACAGTCCATGTCTGCTCTGCCTACATTTTCATGGCGATGGTAGAGGCAAATGAAATAATCAAAAGCAAAGATGAGACCACTGTCCTACCATAAGGAGGGCACATATTTTAAATGATCTTTGTTACAATGGACTATATTTACCCTGATTTCATTAATACTAATTTGTCGAATCTCCTTGTGGCAAAGCTATGCTTCTCCCATCCTTATGTCAGGAGGCCAAGGTGAATGGACTTATGCAGACACATAACTGGACCAACCTAAGTGACTCAAATAGAAATTATCTCTTTGACTCTAATCTTATTAGTATTTTTCTCCTTACCACAAAACTAACAAGCTGTAGACTTTTTATCATTAACTCCATATAATTTCTTGCCTTATATCAAAGAAAGTTTGCAACTGGCGTTTTTGACAGAAATGTGGTACAAAGCAATTTATAAAGTAATTTTCAGGTGTGAAATAACATATTCCTGTTTAGCAGTAATAGATATAAATTCTATTTCTGTCTTCTGTTGTATGATTTAATATTTTTAATTTAAGAAGCATGCAGGTTTTAGAATCTCTTCATTTCATTACTCTGCTCCTGCCCCATCTGTTAATATTTTTCTCCCTAGAGTGTCCTCCTTCTCTGACACTAAAGTTTCCCTCTGAGTGAAAATATTATTCTTACTCATCGTGCTTATGGTTCTGCTTTGACTTTCAGACCCATCGGCCATGACATTAAAAGAGGGGAATGCGTGTTGGCCAAAGGAACGCACATGGGCCCCTCAGAGATTGGTCTTCTGGCAACTGTAGGTGTCACGGAGGTTGAAGTTAATAAGTTTCCAGTGGTTGCAGTCATGTCAACAGGGAATGAGGTAAAAAAGGAGGTCAGGTGAAGGGGACTTTCAGATAAAACTGTTTCTGACATCTATGTTACAAATAGAAGATTGTGGATTATAACTATTACCACATTCCTATAACTAAGAAATAAAAATTGGCCTCAGGATAGTTCAAGTACAGGAGATGAGAAGGAAGAAGTAGAAATTACATATAAATAATCCCTTCCATTTATTAGACTGAAACAATGGTCTTTCCACACATGCAAAGAATGTTGACTGATTGCTATAGATATTCAGCTGTACAAACTCAGTACTTGGTCTATTACAGTGGTTCTTAACCTTCCTAATGCTGCGACCCTTTAATACAGTTCCTCATGTTGTGGTGACTCCCAACCATAAAATTATTTTCGTTGCTACTTCATAACTGTAATTTTGCTAAACTGTTATGAATCGTAATGTAAGTATCTGATATGCAGGATGTATTTTTATTGTTACAAATTGAACATAATTAAAGCATAGTGATTAATCACAAAAACAATATGTAATTATATATGTGTTTTCCAATGGTCTTAGGCGACCCCTGTGAAAGGGTCGTTCGACCCCCAAAGGGGTCGCTACCCACAGGTTGACGACCCACAGGTTGAGAACCACTGGTCTATTAGGACAATGAATTGTGCCCTCTCTGCTGCTGTGATGTAGGCCACCTCTATGTGGGAAAGAATTCAATGAATTGGGATACCATGGCTAGCCTGTTCCTGCTAAAATTCCATGTGATCTTTATGGAAGGGTTTGATAATTGGGTTTTTGTTTTTTTCTCTACACAATACCAGTGATAAAATGCTCCTCTCCACTGGGACAGACCACTCCCACCACCCTTTACCCCTCAGTATGGTGCCATACTGATGCCGGGCATGGTTCTGACCACTGGGAATATAGCAGCAAGCAAGTAGGTTAGGAGAGGGGTATTCAATAAACAAACAGTGATAAATTACATTAAGAAAAAGAAAGGGTCAGATGATAAAGTGTGGTGGTAGAAGAGGCAATGCTAGATACTATATGTTGAAACTTCCCTCAAATTAGCCCTTTTATACTCTCCCCTAAACAATAAGGCAAGAAGCGTGAAAACTCTATTTCCCAGGCTGTCTTTCCAGCTGTGGTCCAGTTAGGTTTTGCCATTGGGATGCATTAACATGATATTAGAAGGTGGAAAGAAATTACCAGAGGTATAAGCTCCTTGACTCTAAGTAATACTTACCCCAACATCCCTAGGGATGATGGTGACTTCCCACAGTTGCTGATCTTTGGTAGCCAATACATCTGTAACCAATTCCCTGTATTAAATTCTCCTTTCTCCATCCTCCCCTCCATCCCTAGAGGACTTTTGGTTTTCTTGTACGGACCTGATTGATAGAGTCTTCTATTTTATATAGGGTAATTAGGCCTCACTGATAAAGTGGAAATCAGAAAACATTGAGAGCATATGTCATATGAAGGGAATTGTGTTCCAAACATCAGGAACAAACAGAAAAGCCCTGAAGTAAGGTCATGTTTGAGGAACAGCAAATATGTCACTGTGGCTGAAGTATAGAGGGAAAGGAGCAAAGTAAAAGGAGATGAGGGTGGAGAGATAATAGAAACAATCATCTATACTAATAAAAGGGTAATATGCTAATTAGACCAGATAGACTGGACGTCTTCTGGACGTCCTTCCGAACAAAGCCACAGTGGCGGGGGCCAAGGCAGAGGCGGTTAGGGCAATCAGGCCGGCAGGCAGAGAGGTTAAGGGTGATCAGGCCGGCACGGGAGAGTGGTTAGGGGTGATCAGACCAGTGGGGGAGAGCAGTTAAGGGCGATCAGGCAGGCAGAGGGGCAGGCAGAGGCAGTTAGGGGCGATCAGGCAGGCAGGTTGGTTAGGGGAGATCAGGCAGGCAGGCAGGTAAGCAGTAAGGAGCCAGCAGTCCCAGATTGCAAGAGGGATGTCCTACTGCCAGTTTAGGCCTGATCCCACAGGAGTCCCAGATTAGAAAGGGTGTAGGCTGGGCTGAGGGAACCCCAATCCCATGCACGAATTTTGTGCACCGGGCCTCTCGTTTATTATAATAGCTCATTTTGAGGAAGGAAAACATAATGTGGAATATAACGCCTTTTTTTTTTTAATATAACATGTCTTAAAATTTTAAATGTTTACTCTGGCTTCTATATGGTATGTCGTATAGGAAGGAAAGGGAAAAAAGCAGGGAGACTAGTTAGCAGTATCTGCAATATTCCAGCAAGAGATTTGGACCAGAGTGGTAGCAATGGAGATGGTAAGAAGTAATCAGATCCAGGATATATTTTGAAGATAAAGCCAATAGGATTTGTTAGTAAATTTAAAACAGAATGTAAGAAAAAGTGAGAAGTCAAGATGAACTCCAAACTTTTTTACCTGAGCAGTTCTAAGGATAGTTATCATTTATTTATCCACGTGAGAAAGATTTAGGCAGTAGAAATCAGGGATTCTATTTTGGACATGTTAAATTTGAGATACTTATTAGAGATCCTAGTAGAAATATCCAGGAGGCAATAAGATATTTAGCCTGGGGCTTAGAAAAAGACAGAGCTAAATATATACATTTGGAAGTTATCAGCATATAAACAGAAGGGGTTTTATTCCCTTTTTTTTAGATATATACTGGTACATAGTGTTTAAAATCATGAGACTAAATAAAGTCACCTAGGAAGTGAGTATAAATGGAAGACAGGGTATGCAAGTTTTACACTTAGGAGGCAATTGTATCTTCCACCTTTTTATCAGCCTTTATATTTCCCAGTTGTATTTTCTAATTTTGACTCATTTTCTAAACTTATTTTATTTATTGATTGATTTGAGAGAGAGAGAGAAAAGGAGAAAGAGAGAAACATCTATTTGTTGTCCCACTTATTTATACATTCATTGGTTGATTCTTGTATGTGCCCTGACAAGGGATCGAACCTGCAACCTTGGTGTATGACACTCTAACCAACTGAGCTATCAAGCCAAAGGCTAATTTTGGCTTGATGATGTCATCTCTTTATTGATAAATACATTCTTATTCTCTTGAAACTTTAGATTGTGATCTATAGGTCTTTAGACTGGACATCAGTCAACCAGCTACCATTATCTTCAGGAAATCAAGACTGTATGCTTGTTACCTACTTACACAAAGTAGGTAATTATTCCTTCAGTAAATGCTAGTCTTCTAGTTTTGAAGATACTGTTTCAGTTACCTTTTGCCATATTTCATAACCCATTCATTCATTCATGTTCTCTTACAGAGAGAGAGAAAGAGAGAGAGAGAGAGAGAGAGAAAGAAACAGAGAGAGAGAGAATTAAGTATATTTATCTCTACTATACCTTTGCTTTTTCTGTTCCATTTTTTTATCATTTACCTGGCCACTGCCAATAGCAGAGGCCTGTACAAACAAGTATGAACTTTAGATATATATAGTCTGTCTAAAATCTTTATGTAATACTAGAAGTCCAGTGCACAAATTCGTGCATGGGTGGGGTCCCTAGGCCTGGCCAGTGATCAGGGCCGATCAGGCCGTCTCGCCCAGTTCCAATCAGGACGTCTCTCCCAGTTCCGATCGGGGCCAGGATGATCGGTGCCCGGCCGATCGGTGCCCGGCCAATCAGGGCCTGCCAACTGGGGAGAGGGATGGGAGGGAGGGATCATGGGAGGTTTGCTGGCCGGCCAAGGGGAGGCACCGGCCAGGGGGAGGGGTAGCGGGAGGTTGGCCGGCCATGGGAGGTTGGCCGGACATGGGAGGTTGGCTGTGGGAGCGACTGACCACCAGGGGGCAGCTCCTGCATTGAGCATCTGCCCCCTGGTGGTCAGTGTGCATCATAGCGACTGGTCAACCAGTCGTTCCAGTCTTTCGGTCATAATGGTCGCGTAGGCTTTTATATAGAGAGATAGATAGATTCTTTGGGGACTTCCACAAGCGGCTGCTGTAAAGTTAGAATCTTTAAAATCTTTTTCCCCACTAATAAGGAATATGAAGTTGAGTGCCTACTATGCCCAGGACTGCTATGTGCTTTATAACTAAAGCAACACTATGAGATTAGTATAATTATCCAGGAAATTGACACTCAAAAACAAAGCGACTAGCCTAACATATTTTGTGTAAGTGATGTAGCTATGTTTCATATCTGAGTCTTTTGGCTATAATGACTTTTTCCCACTATGTTACAATGCTTCCCACTAAAGGTTTCTTAAATTTCATTTGTCCAACTTTTCAATGGCAATCTGAAATCTATCAGATTAGATAGTGCATTACTTTATTCTAACTATATTATACTTCTTGTCCAGATTAAAGACCATGGCTCACTAACACTTCAGGCAGCTTCACTCCTTATAATCTATTCCTTTGCTTATTAAATTAATATCAAAACTGCATGACTTCATCCTCCAACTACAGTTTTGCTCCCAAGCATAAAAACATTACTGAAAAAATTCGTAAAACTTGGATTACCTGACCCACTACAAATTTTTGCCATTTAATGTCAACCTGGCACTTAAAGTTGCTCAGTAATTCTGATGTCACTGCACATTCCTGCAGTGGATAGTTCATTCATACATTCTCTACCCCCTTTAAATCTTACTAGCAGCCCTACTTTCTCACTCGTGGCAGATAACCTCACGGGTGACCTTTATGGAAAAAAATGAAACTAAAAAATACTTGTCAAACTGAACTAGATAAGGGTTCCCTCATTTTCCCTTCTCTTTACCTCATAATTTCCCCCATTCCTTTAGCTATCTTTCTTTCCAACAATCTAAACACAAAAATTAGGACAAATTTAATCAGGTAACCAAAAATTCCTGGGAATCTTATTTTTACAACAAACAAAATAAATATCAGCTAGCTTTGGTAGCTAAACAGAAAAGGATCAGGAAAACAAAAAACAAAACAACAGAAAAGTATTAGAGCTTAACATAGTGCTGGACTTATTACCATAGAAAAAAAATCCCCCAACCAAAGAGGCTCAAGAGATCTCCGTGAAGTACAGTGTAACCACTATGAGACTACTGGTGGCAAGGGGTCCTCCCTAAATCTTGGTAGAGCCTCAATGACTCTGAAAGTCTTAATACAAGGACAACCAAGGAAACTTGTTGATTGTACAAAACTGAATATATGAAAGTTTTTGAGCAAGGATGAGCATCACTTGCCAGAGTCTCAGTAATGTCCCAAAAGGGGGAAGTTACAAAAGGAAACAGAATTTTCAGGACTGGAGTTGATCGTGGGTGGTTTTAAGGTAAAAGTTTATAAGTAAGGTCTAGGCAATAACTGGTCATATTTTGTAAAGTAAATGAGTTGCTAAAACAGTCTTTTCTTTGGCACACATGAGTCCATGTGAATTACGATAGTCCCAAATTGTCCATGGTCTTATGTTGGAGAATATAGGTCCTAACACGCTTGTGTTAAAACAGTTTGACTTAAAATAGTTTGAGTTATATGTCATGGTTTGGTACAGTTTTATCTTTTATACAAGTAATAGTATAGTTTTGCAAGTTGATGTTTCTGTTGTATTTTTTTTTTCTCAAAAAGAAAGAGCTTATAGGCAAGATAACCAATTATAATGCTTTTATAGAAATTCAGACATATTGAATGCCTGAAATTGGGGTTGGGGATGGGCAAGAGAGTGAATAAAAACATTGGGTCAAAGAAGAGATAGATTACAATGTTCTTAATAATTCAGACTGCAAAGGGGAAAAAAATGAATCAAAGGTTAAATGTTTGAATACTGGGAAGACAGTTGATACCATTGACAATAACAAACAGGAAATTGAAATTTAATATATGGTAGATAGGAAAGTAATAAGATATGGAGATAATGGGTTATGTATTGTTTTCCTTTTTTCATTCTAGAATGTAAACCTCTTTTTAATTAAAGTATAGTTAATATGCAATATCGTTTCAGATGTACAACAGTGATGTGACATTTATATACCTTATGAAGTAATCACCACAAGAAGTAACCATCTGTCTCCATACAAAGTTATTGCGATATTATTGACTGTATTCCCTATGCTGCACTTATCCCATGACTTATTTGAGTTATAAGTTTGTACCTCTTAATCCCCTTCACCTTTTTGCCCATACCCCCACCTCCCAACCCTCTGGCAACTATTAGTTTGTTCTTTGTATCTATGAGTCTATTGGTTTGGTTTGGTTTGGTCATTGGTTTAGTTTTTTAAATTTCACAAATAGTGAAATGATAAATCATTTGTCTTTCCCTGATTTATTTCTATTAGTCAATACCCTCTAAGTCCATCCATGTTGTCACAAATGGCAAGATTGCATTATTTTTTATGGATGAGTAATATTCCATTGTGTGTCTGTGTGTGTATCACTTTCCCTTTATCCATTTATTTACTGATGGACACCTAGGTTGCCTCCATATCATGGCTATCTATAATAATAAAAGCATAACATGCTAATTAGACCTGACATCCTTCTGGACATCCTTCCTTCCAGACAAAGCCACAGTGATTGGGGCCATGGCAGAGGCAGTGGCAGAGGCCCCTGGACGCAGCCGCGGTGGCGGGCAGGGGCCGAGGCCAAGGCCCTTACACGAATTTTGTGCATCGGGCCTCTAGTTATAAATAATGCTGCAGTAAACATAGGGGTGCATATATCATTTCCAATTAGTGTTTCATTTTTTTTTTGGATAAGCACCCAGAAGTAGAATTGCTGGGTCCTGCTTTGTCTCATTATAGCCTTTGCTTTAAAGTCTATTTTGTCTGGTAAAGTATTGCTGCCTCAGCTTTCATTTCCATTTTCATGTAATATATTTTCCCATCCCTTTATTTTCATTCTGTATGAGTCTTTTGAACCGAAGTGAGTCTCATGTAGGCAGCATATGAAAGGGTCTTGTTTTTTTACCCATCCGGCCATCCTGTGTCTTTTGAATGGAGCACTTAGTCCATTTACATTTAAAGTAACTTTTTTTAGAAGTATAAAATGTTTTTAAAATCACCCACAAAGTTCTGTATAATCAGGAATGATACAATTTGCAATAGCTTTTTTATAAAAAAAAAAAAACTCAAGACAAAGATTTAAAATGTAATTTCAATTACAGTATTCATTTAGCCTTATCCTTTAGAACAATTATAAAAATGAAACTATGCTCTAAATAAATGAGACACAAGGAAAATATAATAGACAATTTCCACAACTATATTTACATGTATGTTTCAATACTAGTACATTTCAATGCCTTTTGCTACATTAACAAGAAATTATGTACAATTGCTGTGCACCAAAACTTAGCTTAATTCGATCTTTCAAGTAACATGCAATTTCAACTCACAAGGCTTCAAGTACTGCTAGTAAGTGTTCCCTTGTATGCAGAGCACTATATCTTGATCCTGAATTGAAATCATCATTAAGATTATATTTTTCCCTTCTACCTGAAGTGCTTTTTCTTTAAACTGCTTTCCCCATATGTTGAGATCAACAATAACAAAAAGGATATTTTAGAGTTTTAAAATCTTTTCCTTACTATTTAATTGTATAGGATATGTAAAGGAACTATTGATAGTAATGTACTTATTGTCATTTAAATTGTTTTCACTCTAACTTTATAAGTGATCTACTAACTTTACTATATGTTTGCCTTTACTAATGAGATTTTATTTCATATATTTTCTTTTTTCTAGTTTTGGCATTTTCTTTTCCACTTAAAGAATACCCTTTAACATTTCTTGTAATGCCAGTTTAATATTAATGAACTCCTTTAGCCTTTGCTTATCTGGGAAACCCTGGATCTCTCCTTCAACCTTGCTGGGTAGAGCATTCTTAGTTGTAGAGTTTTCCCTTTCATCATGCCACTCCCTTATGGCTTACAAAGTTTCTGTTGAAAATCAACTGATAGTCTTATGGTCATTACCTTATATGTAACTAGTTGTTTTTCTCTTGCTACTTTTAAGATTCTCTCTTTATCTTTAACTTTTAACATTTTAATTATGATGTGTGCTGGTGTGGGTATCTTTGAATTGATCTTATTTGGGACTCTCTATGCTTCCTGGATATGGATATCTGTTTCCTTCATGAGATTAAGAAAGTTTTCAGCCATTATTTTTTCAAAAAGCGTTCCATCCCTTTCTCTATCTCTTCTCCTTCTGGGACCCCTGTGATGCAAATGTGAATATACTTGATGTTGTACCAGAGGTCCCTTATGCTCTCCTTATTCTTTTAAATTATTTTTTCTTGATCTTCCAATGGGTGATTTGCACTATCCTGTCTCCCTCATTGCTAATCCATTCTTCTGCATCTTCTGATCTGTTGATTCCCTCTAGTGTATTTTTCATTTCAATTATTATATTCTTCAGTTCTTTTTGTAATTTATGTCTTTGTTGAAGTTCTCACTGAGTTTATTCACTTGTCTGCAGAATTTGATGAGCATCTTTAGGACTGTTATTTGATCTCTTTACCTAGTAGACAGCTTAGCCCCATTTTGTTTAGGGGTTTTTTCTGTGAATTTGTCTTGTGTTGTTTTTGTTTGGAACATATCATTTTGTCTCCTCATTTTGCCTTTTTGTTTCTATGTATTAGGTAGATCAGCTGTGTCTGCTGGTCTTGAAAAAGTACCCTTATTTAGAAGGTGTTCTGTGGGTTCCAGTGGTGGAATCCCCCCTTCCTAGGTGCTCAAGAAGTGTTTCCTGTATGGACTAGTGTGGTCTTCTGTTGTGGTTGGGCCACAACTGCTATGAACACACTGGCAGGCAAGGCTGGTCTCTGGCCTGGCTGGCTGTGAGGTACTGGCTGCAAGGTCCAGCCTCAGCTTATTACAAACACACTGCTGTGTGCTGTTGCTCCTGAGGCTGCCCACCAGGTGTGGCAGGTTAGAAACCACTTGGAGAGGTGCCAGCCTGGGTGGGTCCTCAGGGAAACACCAAGGTAGGGTGAACGCTGTTAGCAAGGTTAATGGAGAGTGACAGAAATGGCACCTTCCAGCATCCGACCAGGCAGAAGGAAGGAGAGTAATAAAGGGGAAAGACATGGTGCCCACCAGCACTTCGGACTCTGGAAAAAGTTCTGACAGATCCCTATCCCTCCAGCAGATGCCCTAAAATTAGTCAATGTATTACCTTCATGTATGACCCAGGTGCTTTTCAAACTGCTGCCTCTGCGCTGGGACTCGGAAAAAGTGCAGCCTTGTTTTCCTACAACCCTTTGACTCCCAGACCTAAGCCCTGCTGTTTTTCAAACTCAGATGTTATACGGGCTCCTCTTCCTGATACAGGATCCCTAGGCTGGAGTTCGGACCCCTCCCTCTTCAGGGGAGACCTCTGCAGTTGTGATCTCTCTCCCACTTGTGAGTCACTGCATGGGGAGTAGGGGGTAAGGTGAGTCTCTGCCCCTTCTATCCCTCTCAGTATGGCTTTTTTTTTTTTAAATCCATAGTTGTAGAAAATCTATTCTGCTAGTATTTAGGTCATTCTCAGAGATAACTGTTCTATATGTAGTTGTAGTTTTGGTGTCTATGAGAGAAAGTGAGCTCAGGATTTCCCTAATTCACCATCTTTAACCAAAGCCAGGAGCCTTGCTCTTAAATGCCAATTTAACTTGTCTGTGAAATGTCGTTCCTTCTGCTTGGTGCACAGTCCCTGCACCTACTTTGTATTTTTTTTTCTTTTGTATTTCAACTGTAATAAGTTTCAGACATCATCCAGAGATGACCAGAAGTATAAGATACCAGAAAATAATACTCAGTTTTAAAAAGGGAATATTGTGAATTTATTCTAGTATCTCAGTCTTATCATCTTCCATCCAATTCTGTATGCTTTCTTTGAAAACACTTAAAATGCATTGTAAATCCTATCCTCTCACTTATCTAGCTATTATTTCATTATGTCAATTTTACAGACAAATAACTGACTCTCCAGTAATCTCTAATTGTTTTGTTATTTCTGGAACTGTTTACAGCAAAGTAGCAGAGAGGAGTATGAATGGCAAAGAAAATACCTTAATAACAGAGGAATCTTACTTAGTTGGTAGCCAGTACCTTTTTCTGAAAAAAATTACATAGCCATAGTTTTTTTTTTCTGAAACAAGTTATCTGATTAATGGAGTTAAAGAGCTGCAAGCCATGACCTTTATAAAATTACTAGAGGCCCGGTGCACATATCTGTGCACCAGTGGGGTCCCTTGGCCTGGCCTGTGGGATCCGGCCGAAACCGACTCCCCAACATTCCCCCGAGGGGTCCCAGATTGCGAGAGGGTGCAGGATAGGCCAAGGGACCCCACCAGTGCACGATCAGGGCCGGGGAGGGACTGCGGGAGGGCTCCAGGGCTTGTCCAACCCATCTCACTCAGTCCTGATTGGCCAGACCCCAGCAGCAAACTAACCTACTGGTCGGAGTATCTGCCCCCTGGTGGTCAGTACATGTCATAGCGAGTGATTGAGTGGCCTTAGCGTATCATTAGCATATTATGCTTTGATTGGTTGAACAGACGACCAGTCAATTGGACACTTAGCATATTAGGCTTTTATTATATAGGACAATAGCTTCAATAACCATGTGTTAATTAGATCAGAAAATTAATCTATATTAGCACTCAATAGCAATTTTCTTCTTTGTTTTCTTTTTCAATAGCAATTTTCCAAGCTCTGCTGGTGACTAAGGATGAAAGTGGGTTGCAATGTAACCTGGCATCTAATTAAGTTAAATTAGTGCCATATCTGAATGGAAGGCTCCCAGTGACACTAAATACGACAAAGTTTTCCTCCAGCTATTGTAAAGGCCAGTCAGTTGCAAAGCTACTACTTTTTCAACACAAAGCAAAAGGTCTAGCCACATAGTATCACTAATGAGACTGAAGAAACTAGAGGTTATTGTTTGGGAGAACTGAGATATGAAGCCCTGGGTATTGGCCATATTAACAACCTGAGCATCTAAATGTGCAGGCTTGCTGTCCGCCTCCTAAGATAATATTCCAGATTTTCTCACTTCAAATATATACTTTGTTCATTTTGTCACATTTCTAAAATCAGAGTGCATCTTAAAATTATCCATAAATTAAAGTTGTCTGTTGTGTGTGTGTATGTGAGGACCCCCTACTTTTAAGTATTTTATACTCTAAGAAATCCAAATCCATGTTCACATTATAAACTAATTTCATCTATATGAGCATCTAGGAGTAATAATATGAGACCAACTAGGGGGAAAGTAAGTGCTCTCTCAATATCATATGTAATAAAGAAAGAAAAGAAAATCTTGTTTATTGTATATTTACCTATATCAACTGAGTATTCATTATCTCAATTAATCCTAACAACTACTATAATAAGGTAGTTACTACTATACAGGGTGGGCAAAAGTAGGTTTACAGTTGTGAGTACATAAGAAAGTTTATTCATGTATTATTATTTATTAATTACTGTATTATTTATTTATATTATAACTGTAAACCTACTTTCACCTGCCCAAAAATATTATAAATGAGAAAATTAAGGCATAATATGTTTGGGCAACTTGAATTTGAACCTTACCTGAATACCAACCTCTTTATGCTATTCCAATACTACCTCATTGGAAAATAGACTAAGCGTCTTATAATTTTCTTATAGGCATATAATAGCAGATATTAAATTTCTAAAGGTGATTCAAAGTCATGGAATTGTGAGTATGTGTTGTTAAGTATTACTTATTTAAGTTTGCTAATAAAGAGACAAGGCATCTGTCTCCTCCAACTAAGTTTAACTTCTCAGGTATTGATTCCACTTCAGAAAAGAGATTTTAAAAAAACTTGAAAGATAAATGATCATTCTCTTCAGACTTGAGAATATCATGTCACAGAGTCTCTACCTCAAACAAATTGGAAAGTAATATTGGGAGTTAAAATTAAAGTTGTTTTATTTAGTTTGCTTCAGTAAGCAACCACTGGGAAGGCCAGCATCTCCAGAGCACTATGGTCAAATTGTAGCCAAAGCTGGTGCAATATTGTTTAGTCACCATTTAAATTTCTGCAGGACCATTTTTTTATCCTCCTATACTTTCAATATTTATTCAAAGATCCTTTGGGCATATATTTTCTATATGCCAAATACTGTTGTAGGTGCTAGATATACTGAACTCTGTTTACTAGGTCTATTTTTCCATTAACAATTGGCAACATTATCCTAAGGGAATAATTTGTGGTGGTTTTTTTGGCCTTGTAGCTGCTAAATCCTGAAGATGACCTCTTACCAGGAAAGATTCGAGACAGCAATCGTTCCACCCTCTTAGCCACGATTCAGGAACATGGTTACCCCACAATCAACTTGGGAATTGTGGGAGACAAGTAAGTACTGGATTTTATTTCTAAGTTGTTATACAAATATGAATTTTAGGAGTACTAACTATGTGGGGTTGTTGCTAAAACAACAGAAATTAAATACCATAATTTTCACGTATTTCATTCTTCAGAAGCCTAAGAATTATGGAAGTATCTATGTCCATTGGGGACAGACATTTCCTGAAATGCCTATTACAACAGGAGAAATATTTTGCTGTCCTATGGGTTTATTAAATTTACAGGGATCTTTTTTGATAGTGTTGTCTTTATCCTAGTGGAAGTAATGGTGATAGTGTTTTATTCCTATTCATACTTTTACTTGTTTCAAGAAAGACAGGGAAGACATAGCATAAGTGAGAAGAGTAAGAGAGAATGTCAAAATTAGCACTAACTGATTTTTTGAAGTTTAAGTACAATTGTTTTCTAGGGCCTCTGTATTTATTTTGGCATCCTTATGTAACCTGAGTTTCTCCAGATTTCACCAACTTGAAAATTCAGAGGGAGGCATGCTAACTATAATTGCCCATCTCTAACAGCACATTTACTAAATGAACTCAGCCCTCTACTAAATTCCCCAAGTAATCCAGTGACTCTCCAGCTGTATCTTACACATGACCTAAAGCAAGCCTGCTTTCTGAGCATCTCACTACCATGCAACACTGCTACTCAGCCATCTTTCACCAGGCACTATTATCCGTTCACCAAAGGTGTGCCTGCTTTTAGTAATTCTGAAATATCAGCCTTGTGGAGACAAGCTAGGAGATAAGCCTGAGTGGTGGATACCAGTATGTTTCTGTCACCCATAATCATCCTTCTCTCTCATTACCACCTGGTCACTGAGTAAAGCTCATTATACCATGATCCTTCATCCCTTAAGATGAGTGCTTTCTCAAAAATCAAATGTGCTTTTAGAAAGGCTCTACCCCACCATTTCATAAGTTAATGCTCTCAAACCTGTAAACCCCACCTTAGGCTTAAACTGGACACAACACATCAAAACTTAGACACAGGATCTTGCCAGTAACCTGAGAAGCAGTAGCTTTTATGTCATCTGACCTTTTAAAGTTCTCTTTTTTTTTCCTGATTTTATTTCTTTCTCTGAGGACATTTTTTGTAGAGGCTGTTAGACATATTTCAAACATCATTCTTTTTAGATTCTTCACCACTTGTGTTTGCCTGGATGTTTAGTTCTAGAGAAGCCTATAGCGAAGTGGCCAGCCCCCATGGAACCCCTGGTGAAGCCAGTGTCACAGGTTACCTAATATCACCCTGATTCAGGCTCCCTAGCCCTGGGGAAGTAGAAAGAAAGGGGGGATGAAAGGCGGGTAGTTTGCATTTTAACCTGACCAGTAACCTGTCCTTCCATGTAAACTTCAAGCACCTGAAAATCCTGATACAGATACAGCTTTTAAAAAGACAAAAATTCACTTCTGAGAAAAAATAATACAACTCCAAGAGTTCCAAAAACACAGAGCAGACCTGAAACTGTATAGAACAAACCTACCAGGTTGTTTAGGTTTTGTTTCCTACCTATCACTGGCTCTGGCCCTGCCTCCAAGTGCGTTAATGAGCTCTAAGAAATAAAGTAAAAGGAGCTTTTTTTTTTTTTTTGTCATTTTAACCTTAATCTGTTCTGAACTATAATTTTGTCCATTTTATTCTCTTATGTTGGTACTTTCGTATACAAATAAATGTTACTGCCTGGCCAGAGTGCTCAGTGATTGGGTGCCGATCCAGGCACCAGGAGGTCGTCAGTTTCATTCCGGTCAGGGCACATGCCAGGGTTGTGGGCTCAGTTCCTGGTAGGGGGTATGCAGAAGGCAGCCAATGGATGTTTTGCTCTCACATTGATGTTTCTCTCTCTAAAAATCAATTTTTTAAAAAATCTTTTTAAAAAAGAAAGGAAATTAACACCTAATTCCATTACGCAGTATTACCCTTCTTTAATTCTTTAATTCTATGCATGTATACTATTTATGTGTGTATGCATGTGCAAGAAATCAAAGAAAACATATTCTTATTTTAACCTTCCTTTTCTTACTCAATATATTATAAACATCTGTTCATATCATTACATAGTTCTCTGCTATATCATTTTTTATTTATTTTTGCTATATCATTTTTTATTTATTTTTGCTATATCATTTTAATGCCTACATGTTATTCTCTAGTATAAAGTACAATAGTATTTATTTATATCCCTTGTTGCCATAGATTAGGTTGTTTCTAATCTTTCTCAATTGTAAATAAATGACTAACATCCTTATTACTAAATCTTGGCATATACCCACAATTATTTGAGAGTGTTTTAAAGTTTTTATTTTATTCATGTTATGATAATTGTTGAATGTCTTCCGTTTGCAAAGCTATGTTAATAGCAGAGGTAAAATGATAAATAAAACAACTGAGGACATATGGGTAGGTAAATAAGTAGAGATTGCTTACTACAGGTGCTAATCGAGACAACTGTGACCAGACCTGGTTATGTTATTGGTCATTTGGGCACATACGTACTTCTCTTGTTTTTGCATTTTTTTCTTTTCCCTCAGTTTCCTGATGAAATTTCTTAAATAAATTTCTATCTTTTGTGGTCTAAACAGGGTGCTTTCTTTCCCACCAGATTATAAGCTCCATGATATAAAAGGTGTGTCTTGGTAACTCTATGTCCACAGCACATAGTAAGAGTACATCTCCTACATTCGACAGTCCTGCCATCTTTCCCTATACCATCTCGTCTTTACATGGAACTTACAAACTTCCAACCATGCAATTGTCCAGAAGAATCTTACAGGGTCCCTTAAAGTGAGTCCAAAAACCTTAGCCATAGGATCAGACCAGAAAGTATGGCACTGACAGCATAATTGCATTGGTGACTAAGACACATCCTCATAAAAGGTACAATGTTAAGCTTTGTACCTGGAGTTAAAATGAATCCATTTTATATTTCTGAAGAAGAAAAAAAGTAAGATGGGGGTGTGGGCATAATTCCAAATGGATTTTAAAAGCTTCTAATTTAAAAAGTTGGGGAGCTATTCCCTCAGACTTAAGTAGATGATCTTATACATTTCCTTCTTAAATATAACAGTAATCATAATCCAAATACACAGAATCCACTTGGGGAAATCTCTTTTTTTTTTAATCTTAACCCAAGGATATGTTTTTATTTTAGAGAGAGAAGGAAGGGAAGAAAGGACAGGGAGAGAGAGAGAGACAGAGGCAGAGGGAGAGAAACATCGATGTGAGAGAAAAATATCGAGATTGGTTGCCTCCCATACACACCTCACCCAGGGATTGCACCCACAACCCAGATATGTGCCCTAACTGGGAATTGAACCTGAAACATTTTGGTTTATGGACAACAGTCCAACCAACTAAGCCACCCTACCAGAGCTGGGGAAACCTTTTAAAATAAACTTTGCCATTAATTGAATTTATATTATTCCTAAAACTGATTTACTGAGCTGTTTATATTTCTACCTCAGCTAAAAGCAGCTTGGTAATATGGCTTCCAAACCGTTGACTTGAACCTTCTAGCCTTTCAAGGCTTAAAGGGCTGAGAAATTCCCATATTAAGAAAAGGGTTCCCCACTCTGGAACAGTGCCATCACAGAAGCTTGCCCCACTCTAGTCATGCTGGGCTTGCTTGGCTCTGTCCTAGATGGTGTTTTGGATTTGAATTGCCTATTCCTGCTGCTGCCAATTTGTGAAGCTGCCTCTTCACGTTAAAGCATGAACAGAAGGGTAAAAAGCACTGAGATAGCAAATTGAATTTTTATAAAACTGGCACATGTAGCAGGAATTATCAAGATAGACTTAACAGTACAGTGATTATTTGGGCAAAGTCCAGTGCCTTACATCTTCCAATTTGTGAATAAAACATATGCTAACTTGCTATAGCTTACCCAATGTTCTAAAAGTGGAAATTTCTAATTAACAGGGGGAATTTTGTCTGAACTTAATTGGTTCTTGTCATCTTTATAAACTGCCTACTTCCCTTTTCTGTTCAAAATGCAAGGTATTCATTTTCACTTCAACATAATAGATTCCTTTCCTGACCATTTATCAGCAGAGGTCCCTGATTTTCTATCGGTTAACCAAAAAGATTCTTCCCACTCTCGGTGACAAACTTTTTTTAGTGGCTATTACAGTTGACTTTCTTAATCCTTGAGAGTTGATGTTATTGATTCTTCTAAGAATAACCTCCAGTTTTTACTGTACTTATAGAATTTCTTACCGACCCCCATTAAAGTAATATCTTCCAAAAATCTTTTCCTAATTATTCCATACCAGATTAAATCATTATGTTCCACTCAATATTTATATAATATCTCCTTATATGCATTTTACTGTAGTGTTAATTAACATATTTGAATTCAGTCAGTGATATTAATTTCATTGCTAATTTCACTCATTTTCCTAAATTTTGCCATGTTTTCTGTACTAGCTTGTAAACTTAAGGTAGAGACCATGCTTCCTTCTCTCTTTATATGACTCCATGGTGCCTAAATACCCAGTGGGACTGGAGAAAGACTAACTGATGGCAATATGGAGTATGCAGCTTGATTTCATACGTGAAGTAGACACCAAAAAATATTTGTTTTAAGGAATTTATCCTTGACCCCTAAAGAAATTAGTATATGTCCTGAACTATTTTTTGTTGTTATCTTGGTATAATAAACTGCTATTATTCCTTAATTTCCAATCTCAGAATTTTTTCTAACTCTCCCACTGTCTCTTCACTCATCTTAAAATGATATAGCTCACAGTTGGTATAACAGATGAAACAGGAAACTAATTAGCAGCTGTTGTCCATCTGTGTGTTTATATTAAATATTTTAAAATAAAAGTGCATTTGCATTCTGAATGCTCTGTCTGAAATCCATAAAATCTAAACGTGGGTAAAAACTCTATCTTGGTTTTGAATTTTATAGTAGACTTCATGGTAAAGAAAAGAAAACTATGCCAGAATCAGGATTGTGGTAATTTAAAGCAGATACAAATTTTAAAAAGGAAAAAAGCCTGAACTAAAAGTGAGTCTCCAAAGCCTACTGCAAAGATATCATTGATATATTCCTTCACAGAGAATGATTCATACATAATTTTTTGAGAAAGCCACATTCATTCTCTGATAGATTTGAGTTATACTTCTACTTTCTCTTTTATCTGCCTTTCTTTTAAGTTTAAGCTTCTTTGACATCTGATTAAGTTAGAATTCTAGGGAGACTGTTGTTATTATCAGTAACCATATCCCAGATTGAAGGTGAATGTTAGAGCTTTGCAAAGAAAAAATGCTGTTTGTTTTTTTTTAATGCAAGTCAAATAGATGTTCTTGATGTTCAAAAAGTGAAAGGGAGAAAAGTATAATATACAAGATGATTATTGTATTGCAATACTCCAGTCCATTTTGCCCTCTATGCTCCAGTCTATGTACTAGTATGAAGAGAAAATAGTTGCTGTATTTATATAAATTTCATTATTTCCATATAATCACAATATGTTAGAATTGAAAGAATGTCTGATGTTAGCTAGTCAAATCTTTCACTATTGGAGATGTTAGAGAAAATTCCTAACTAGCCATCCGGTTTTCGTTTGATGCTTTTAGTGAGAAAGATCTTATTTGCCTCATGAGGTAGCACATTTTATTGTTGGATAGCTCTTATGATAAGGATTTTTTCCATTTCACTGAGCCAGTCTTTATCCCTGTTTCTTCCATCCATTAGTCCTAATTCTGCCCTCTGGAGCAATACCAAATAAATTGACTCCCTATTATATATGACAAGCTTTCAAAGAAAGCACTATTTATGTCTATATAAATATTAAATAGTATCTTCTCTTCCATCCACAGACAATATTATTGCCCATAATATTATTACAGTTGTAATAATTGTACACTATTCATTCCCAAATCTACTGTGGAGAGATGGCATAGAGGCCAGGGTTTGTTCAGTTCATTTTTTGAGTTCCTACAATGTGTAGAGATTTGGAGAGGCAATCAAGGAGCCTAGATAAATGAGACCCTGTCTTGTGAGGCAGTCATATATTACTAGAGGCCCGGTGCATGAAAATTCATGCACTGGAAGGGGGGTCCCTCAGCCCAGCCTGCCCCCTCTCATAGTCCAGGAGCCCTCAGGGGTGGGAGGCAACCCAGCGATCAGGGGAAGGCGATGCCCCATCACACCTCTGCTGCTGCTGTTGCCGGCAGTGCAAGCCTTGGGTGGCCCTGGTTACCTGAGCCTCAGCTGGCCCTGGTTACCTGAGCCTTGGGCGGCCCTAGGCAGCTGGGTGATGAGGGGACTGGTGGTCTCAGAAGGCAGGCCTTGTTGTGCGCCTGCCACCCAGCATGGCAGAAGGGACTGGGCGCCGCCATCTTGTGGTTATGGGTGCCGCCATCTTTGAGTGTGGCAGTCAATTAGCATATTCCCTCCTTATTGGCTGTGGGCACTGCCATCTTTGAGGGCAGGCAGTCAATTAGCATATTCCCTCTTTATTAGATAGGATTGTGTCATCTTCATAAATTTTACTTTTTCCAAATTGTTGCTTCTCTTTATTCTTTTTAGTTCTTTTACTTGAAATTCCACTTTGACATTAATATACCACTCCTACTTTTTTGCTTATTTACATTTGCCTCCTGGTATATTTTTGCCCTACCCTTACTTTCAGTCTTTCATCTTCAAGTGTATCTCTTGTAAATAATATTCAAATGGGATTTGAGCTAAAGAGAAAAAACCCTCAATCTTGCATCTGCCTTAAGTTACTGTAACCCTGATCCTGGCATAAAGTTTATTTTGCTTTACCATACCATGAAGTTTGCTATAAAAACATCCCTTGATGTTTTTCTTTCTTTTCTGTTTATATTTATCATAAACTTTATGTTTACTATTTATTCAGCTTTATTATTTCTTCACTATCCCCCTCATGATTTCCTTCCAATTTCTAATATTCATAATCAAATATATATTTCTCCACTATTATATTTTTAAAGGATGCTAAATGTATCCCTCCTATAAGACATCCCCATTTCTTCTATGCACCCCCTACACCAGTGAGACCTTTAGAATACTTCCCCAATCTCCTCCGACCCCATCAACTTTTAGGTAGTATTGCTGCAACCATGCTCTTAATTATAGGCTATTAAGTTTTCTTTTGTAGTATATCTCTCTAATTCCTAGGGAAATCCACATATAGTACATATATTATAATTCCTCAGTTTATTTGATCATTGTATATTAGATTTAGCTGTATAGTTCTATAAATATGTGTGTGGCTCACTAGCATTTCCTCTTTCCTTGCCCTATCTTGAGATTTCTGATCTATTTTTTCAGAACATTACTTATTAATTTATTATATGAATTTTTGCATTTTCACAAATATCATTCTTCTATCCTGATGGGTGAATGCTGTCTGACTGGATATACGATTTGGTAGCGGCAAGCCTTTTTTCTCAGAATATGTTGATGTTAATCTTCTGTTTTATAATTTTTGGTATTGTAGGTAAGAAATCCAAAGCCAATATTCTCTTTTTAGTAAATCAAATCTTACTGTCTGACAGCTTGTAAGATTTTCTCTTTATTCTTGAAATTACACAATTTTACCACGACATTTATATATATAAATATATTCAACCTTGCCTAGAACTCAGTAAATCTTTAATGTTGTAAGTCAATCTCCATTAGTGCTTTAATTGTTTGTTATTGTTAAAATTATATATTTCCTGGAGTAGTTTTATTTCAGAATGCGCTAGCTATCCTAAATAGTATGCTTACTCTTCCACATCCCATTGCTAGTTCTAAAATTGCTGGTATTTTCCTTATCTACTGAGAGATCTATTTGCCCTCAGCCCTCAGGAAGCTGCTACAATACTGAGGACCTGATGGGAATGGAGTTGTAGTAGAAAAGAGGACCACAAGTGGTAAAAGGCACGGAAGTCACAACTCCTGAATTGGCAAAGCTCCAGTGGCAAGCTGCCACTCTTCTGTTAAAGTAGGAGGGGGGAAAAAGCCTTTGTGCTCCCTGGACATTTAGTTGTAAAAGTTTGGGCTTTCCCAGCCTTTCAGGATAGGGCAGTGTGGGTAATTTTTAGGGAGACTTCCAGGTCAGCTTAAAAATGATACCTTGAAGCTAAATGGATCCCAATTAGCTTTAAGTGCTTTATGTCAGTGAATGTTAGAGACAGAAAGGATCTAGTCTAAATGTTCTCATATTGCAAATAAGAATAATGAGACCCCAAAATGATATTAATTTTTCAGTCATCTCAACAGTAGAGACAAAATTGGATTCTAGACCTTGTGACACTTAGGCCTTCAATTAACCGTTCTATTTTCTGTCACCTAGTATTTAAATTTTTAGCATTTAGTACTAAAACAACTCTCTTATAGAATACTTTCATATAATATTTGGCACTCTAAGAGAACAATGGATAGGTACTTAATTTAAATGAAAATGGATATAAAGTGTTAGCAAATTAAGATTAATACTGGTATTTGATTTATTTTTAAATAAATGATTAATCATCGTCCAAATCTAATTAAAACTGTGATTGTTACTGAAGGCAGAATTAAATGATATCATAATATCTCTCTTTAAGATCTGCTGCTCTTTGAGAGAAGGGATGCTACTCATATATACCTAGGCCAGTGGTCGGCAAACTGTGGCTCATGAGCCACATGCGGCTCTTTGGCCCCTTGAGTGTGGCTCTTCCACAAAATACCACGTGTGGGCGTGCATGTACAGTGTGATTGAAACTTCGTGGCCCATGCGCAGAAGTCAGTATTTTGTGGAAGAGCCACACTCAAGGGGCCAAAGAGCCACATGTGACTCGCGAGCCGCAGTTTGCTGACCACTGACCTTGGAGGCTTTATCTTACATCCCCTTTGTGGCAATGGTGAGAAGATATCTCAAAATTTTAAAGTACAAATTATTGTTCAATCATCACTATTTGGCATACACAAATACCTCATCATTTCCCCTTATTAGGTTACCCTGTTAGAGAAAAAAGAAGAAAACCCTGTGAAAGTACCAGTAGCCACTAGTTCTGCTCATAATTCTTTCTCCATAATAAGAGTTATGCTCCTGTCGGGCAGAGACCCTTTAATTCCTACTTTGTACAGAATATAGTGCTGTGCTCAGGTTAACGCCTACTCAGTGAATAACATGGTTTAGTTTAAAGTGGGCACTATATCTAAAACCTTTTCCTTGTGCATTAATGTGTTTGTCTTTGTTTTTTCCAGCCCAGATGACTTACTCAATGCCTTGAATGAGGGTATCAGTCGTGCTGATGTCATCATCACATCAGGGGGTGTGTCCATGGGGGAAAAGGTATGAAAAATGGGGACCTTGGAAATTTATCCACTATAATATCTTTGCATGCAGTTGATTAACTGTGCTCTGGTAGTGCTCTGGGGTATAACGAGACCCCCACAAAGCTAAAAATCCATGGGGCTTCAGAAATTTCTGGGCATACAGAAAGGATTGCTGTCTAGGTCAGAGAGCTTACCTCAGAAGCAGCATTGAAAATCCCACAATTTGCATTATGGTTTTGATCTCCCCCTGGAGATTTCTAGCTTTTTGCTCAATCAACCTTAGTACATTAGGACTTCTTTTATATGTAACTAGTGGCCTGTTGCAGGAAGATTCCTGCAAGAATAGGGCTTCCTGCGGCCGCCCCACTTGCTTCCCTCCCGTCTCCACCACCCCGCATGCTTCCCTCCTGTCTCCGCCGCCCCGCTTGCTTCCCTCCCATCTCTGCCGCCCCCCCTTGCTTCTCCACAGCTTCGCTCCCTTCTGCAGCACTTAGCTTCCTTCTACGCTGTCTTCAGTCTTCGCTCTGTGTCTGTGTATGCAAATTAACCGCCATCCTTGTTGGGTTGGTTTGCGTAGTTGCTCTGATTGGCTGGTGGGCATAGCGGAGTGATGACCAATTTGTATGTTTCTCTTTTATTAGTGTAGATATTTACTTCTAAGTTAAAACTCCAAGATCCTTCCTTCTACCTAAATTTAAATTACAGATGACCTTGCCACCCCCCTCCCTCATATTTCAAACCTGGTTGCCCACAAGATAAAAAGAGAAGATTAGGTATTCCTTTGCCCCACTTGAAAAATAATCATAATCATAATAATGATGAAAATAAAATACAAGCATGGATATAAATATATATATATAGAGATATATGTTGGATTTTATAAGACTAAGTATATTTGCATATGGTATATGCTTAACCCTATAAAATTACAATTTGAATATCTCAGTATCATTAAATTTATATATATGTCTAAATGAAATGTGTTGGTCCATGATTATTATTGGGTCCATTGAATAATGTTATAAAAGTGAAATATTCTTTACTACGATAACCAATCTTATGTTTGGCACAATAACATTTCAGATCACAAAATAATTTGCAAATGTATAATCCCTTTCCATGTTTTTTTTTAAATCTCATATTAATGACTGAACTGAAAATTATAAAAATATTGTCATAATAGCAACTTTTGCTAAAATCATATTTTCCAAGAGCTTGATTTTTTTTTAGCAAGACCTTATGTATATGATTGTTCTTGGTCCCTGCACTCACTAGCTATAAAGCTGCCTTAATCCTTAACCTGACTCTTTGGACAGTGAATTCTATAGGCTCTGAGAGCAAATGTCAGAATACAGTAGCCTGAACAAAGAATGCCTGCTTTCATTCCCAACTTTAGTTTTAGAGCAGCCGTGGGCAAACTACGGCCCGCAGGCCGGATCCGGCCCGTTCGGCTATTCAATCCGGCCCGCGGAGCCGAAAGAGCAGAGGGTTCTCTTGCTCTCCCCTCCGCTCCTTCACCAGCAGCAGTGTTAACATGGCAACGTCAGGAAACACGGCCGCAGCTCCTTCTTCTGAGTCCAGTTTAAGAACCCAATGTGGCCCTCGAGTCAAAAAGTTTGCCCACCCCTGTTTTAGAATGTTTAAGAATAGCAATTCAGATGCTAAAGCCAATGAAGAAAAAGAGGGGATCTCAGTCCAAGACTACCATCGCAAATGACATCCAAGAGCAAAGCTATTAAAATGTAGGTAGGTATTCTCCTTATAGCAGACAGTTTGCTGGGTTAGTCTTCTTTCAAGTCTCCTAGCAGTCTTCAATCCTCGGTATAGCAAATTACTGCAGACCTCCTGAGATCACAAAGGCTAGGGCTAAAGTCTGCATTATAGTAGACCTATAATGTCTGTTTTTATTATCATCAAACTGCCTGTGGTGTTCCGAGTATCACAAGAGCAATCCTGAAGTTGAGTATTTAAATATTAAATTTGTTATTCCCAGGGAGTGTGTCATGTATAACTTATCTTGGTTATTAATGAACTTAATTGTAGGACAATAATTATTTGTCAGACCTAAAATTTGTCTTTCCTAATACTTCTGAAGAGGCAACAAGTTTATAACTAACAAAGATGTCATTTATCCTAGGGATACCCTCACAATTAAACAGAGCCAATATAGTAAGGCCTATTAGTTTCCTTTATAAAGGAGCCAATGAAAAATGACTCTTTCAGATAAAATCTCTCCTCACTGCTACATCCCCCTGCTTCATACAGACTTTTTCAAGAGTTTTTATTTTTATAAAAATTGAAAGTTTCAGATAAACAGAATCTGCTTTTTGTCCTGAAAACTAAAGAATTACATGAATTACTATAAATATCCTACAACCTTCAAGATTGTAAAATAATTCAAAAACAATGAATGGTGCAGATAACCAAGAAGAATATACTTAACCTGGATACCCAGTAATTTTATTTATTTTATTTTATTGCCTATTTAACAGTCTCTTAAGTTTTCCTAATAATGTCTCCGTTACCTCATCTGATCAAAATAATCACAGATAGTTTTGATCACACAAAAAAGGGTGGTCTCACAGGGTTACCCTAATTATTTAGCAGGAAGACTATTAAATATAGGCCTTCTTGAATTTGTTGCAAATTTAGAGTCAAACAGCAATAGAATATTAAAAGTAATCAACAATATTCTGAACAAATAAACACAGTAAAATTTTTCCTTATCATTTTATTCAGCCCCATATCATTCTTGCTCTGCTAGATCTTGGGTTAGCAGTCTGCTTTCATGAAACCATCTGCTTCCATTCTAAAGAGTCCTGGGATTCCTGACTCAGTTCACTGGTACTGTATAAAAGTTACCTAAGCTCTATCTAAGTCTGTACCCAAGACTATTCTTTGAAGTGTCAGTATTTCAAAGTTTCTCTGACATTCCTCCCTAGTATTCTGAATCTGTCTTTGTTGCAGACACAAACTATTGGCTGTAGCTTATAGCCGAGCCTACTGCAAGCATCAGAGTAAAACAGAAACTCCATAGATAGCAGATACTTAATGGCTGTGCATCATTGATGCTGTAATCAATAATATCAGAATAGAATATAAGTAAAATTCTCTATTGGGATACAGTATCAAATTTTTTCTTTTTTTAAATATATTTATTGATTTCAGAGAGGAAGGGAGAGGAATGACAAAATGAAGAATTTTACTAGAAAACTAGAATCTACTCATAAGAATTAAATGAAAATTTTAGAAAAGGGATGAAAAAAGGCATAAAAGACATATGGGATATGGTGAAAGGTCTAACATATATGTAATAGGAGTCCAGAAGGAAAGGAGAAAGAGCAAGCAAAAGCAATATGTAAGAAGTATTGGCAAAGAGTTTTCCCAAATCAATAAAAGATTTCAAGTCAGAAATTCAAGGAGCTCTGCTAATCTCAATCAGTATAAATAGGAAGAAACCATCCTTAAATAATTATAGCAAAACTACTGAAAGCCAGGACAAAGAGAAAATCTTACCAAAGGACATATTTCCTTCAAAGAACCAACAGTAAAACAGAAATGATTTAACCGGAAACGATGATACTCAGAAACACTGGAATGGCATTTATAAAATGCTAAAAGAAAATAACTGCCTCTGTGGAACTGTGTATTCAGCAAAAATTTCCTTCAAAAATTAAGATAGGGATATTTTTAGTCAAACAAAAACTGAGCAGACCTATACTAAAGCAAGTTTTTTAGGCAGAAAGATTATGGAAGCATGGAAATGCAGAAAGGACTGAAAAGGAAAAAGGAAAGGGTTAATATGTAGGTAAATGTAAATGAGTGTTGATTGTATAAAATAATAATACCTTGAAAGGTTTAAAATATATATAAAGTCCAGCTGGTGTGGCTTAGTGGTTGAGCATCAACCCATGAACCAGGAGGTCGCAGTTCTATTTCCAGTCAGGGCACATGCCCATGTTGCAGGCTCGATCCCCAGTGGGGGACATGCAGGGAGCAGGCAATGGATGAGTCTCTCTCATCATTGATGTTTCTATCCCTCTCTCCCTCTCCCTTCCTCTCTCTGAAATCAATAAAAAAAAAACATATAATAAATAAATATAAATATAAAAAGCATTATCTCTTTTGTTCAAGACTGTACCTAGATTGGTACTTAGCATATAACAAGTGCTCAATAGATATTTATTGAATGAATGACTGACTGAGGAATGAATATTTGTCTTACACAGTCAACTTCACTAAAATAAGGTGTTTTTTTATTTTAATCTTATAAATTCATTTTATCTTCATCTTGAAAGTCTGGTATTCAAATGTCTGAAAATAAAGCGATTCTTTTTCATATTTGCAGGACTATCTCAAGCAGGTGCTGGACATTGACCTTCATGCTCAGATCCATTTCGGCAGGGTGTTTATGAAGCCAGGGTATGAAAATAATCTTGTTATCTCATATATGGGCTTGGTTTGGCTTGCTTTAACTAACAAAGCTTTAAATGCTTTCTTCTTATATAGTCTATGATGGATTACCTATTTTAATAGAAGAAATATTATAGTAATAGAATTCTTTGCACAAGTGCAGCTCCTATCTGAAATGGGTATTCATCTTCCTTATGAATCACTGAGTTTATTATAAAAAAGCAAAGCAAGTTACCAAACCTTTTTCCCTTTAATTCCCATGTCTAGTTCCTGCTTTCTCTTTTTCTATTTCTCTCCATACTGATTCTTTTTCTCTCTTTAAAAACATTTCAATATGAAAATTCTCAAACATACACATAAGTAGGAAGTACAGTGAAGCCCCCATGAACCCATCACCTAGCTTCTGTAACTATCAACATTTTTTCATAATTGCTTCATCAGCCCATTCCACACTTTGTTGGGGGGACAAAGGGCTAGATTATATTAAAGCAAATTCTAGACATGTCATTTTTATATATATCTCAAATAATAACAACAGCAGCAGTATCCTCTTATGTAAGTAATCACAGTGGTATTGCCTCGCCTAACAAAATAAATAAGAATACCTTAACACCTAATACCCTGATCATATTCAGAATTCTCCTATGTGTTAAGAAAAATAATGCCTTCTTATAATTGTTTCGTTTGCATTAGGATTCAAGTCAGTGCACTCATTGTATTTGGCTGTTAAAGAACATTTACTGTCCCCTCCTTTTTTGTCATGCCATTGACTTGTTGAGGAAACTGAATGAATCATTTGTCCTAAACAAATGGATTGGGCTGATTGTGTTTGCGGTGGTATTTAATTTGTTACACTCTCTCCAGGATATTCTGTAGACTGGAAGTTAGGTCTAGTGGCTTGATTAGATGAAGATTCAACTTTTTTTCCTTTGTAAGAATACTTAATAAGTAGTATTTTATATTGCTTCTTACTACCTCCTAGGAGGAAAAAAAAAATAACTAAATACTAAGATCTTGCACATATCCTAAAAACTAATAACTCCCTAAGGAAGGACTGATGGAAGCTCTGTAATCAATTGTAAATCTTTAAAGAATATCAAACATTGGTGTTGATGAAATATGTGTGGCCATGTCTTCAAGCAGTTGTTTACCTATTCAGACCCCTGCTACTCTGTAAACCTTTGGTTCCCTATTCAAAGGCTCAGTGTGTGGGTGAGCATTCCAGCCCCACCTCCATGCCATCAGGGACAATAACAATAATGCTGTAGTTCAGAATTATACTCTGATGGGTGCTCATGTGAACCCCAAGAGAGAGTAGAGGTGAGACTTACAGTTAGGAGCTGTGGGAACTATTACCATATTCCAGAAGCCTTTTTTAAGTGTCCCTGACCCTTGTAATCTCCCTGATTTAATGGGTCCTCATGTCAGCTAGGGATAGCGATCAGGCTTTGCCTCCATGATTTTGCCATTTAAGTATGAAGTTAAGATTATCCCTAAAGTTTCCTTCACAACTTGCTAGAACTTAAAATTCTCAGCATTTTAATTCTGTAGTTACGCCAATATGGCTGCTACTGACAAGGTTCTTTTATTATTGAAATTGTTGGATTTGGATCATTCTTATTAGGAATATTTTATCTTAAGCAAATGTTGCTATGGTGTGGGTGCACAGGCTTTTTCTTTTCCTTTCCCTATGGGCCATACAAATTTGATTAGAAAACAGAGGACATCTCAAAAGTATGTCAGTGTGCTTCTTCTCACTAACCCCAAAAATTAAATCAGTTATTTCCTTTGCAGTGAGAAAAAGCTGGCATTACTTGCCCTCACCGCTGGAAGACAATTATTTGTGTAATATATGTTTAAATTAATCTCAGCACCTGTGATGTATAATTTTAGCACTCTTTTTATTTTCAGTCTTTTATTTACCACTTACTTCAACTTTGGGACTTCACCAGTTCCCTTAAAGTCATAACCCCTGTGACTTCACTCATTGTTCTGTTACATTCTCATCTCAGGAGGGGAATTGAACAGTAAGTGTTGAGTTCCAAGGAAATGGTTTCCCAGAGCTTAAAAAGACTTCACAGTCTAGGACACTCATGACAGCAATGCATGACAACTAAATGTTTTGTTGTAATGGAATCTTTTTTAAATTAGTGCCTTTAGATAAATCATAGTACCTGTCTGCAAGATGCAAGATGATTTGAATTGGCTTTAAATATAGTAGATGGAAGGTATTATGCACTCCCTCCTCACTCTTATTATGCATGTTAGTTTGCTATAGTAAAGTGGTTTAAAATTTTAAAGGAGCTTCCTTTACTTGGCCAGAATTTTACACTTGTCTAAAGGTAAGATTTTAAAGATAATTGCTGCCTAATAGTACAAGAACAAATATAAAACCTCAGAACACTAGTCTTGCTCTTCCCACATACAGTGCATTTAGAATGTAACTAACCTCTTTCATTTTAAACACAGAGATACTAAAAAAAAGCATTTGGATTATTATCAACCAGATCTACCAATCACAATTTTTATGAGTCATCTACAGTGAACATAGCTGTTTTCGAGAATGCATCTTAGAAATTATTTTCATCATACAGTAACAATCATTGCCAAATAACCTATCCATAAATCAATATGACAGTCTAATCTCATCTTTCTAAACTACATCAAAGAATCAAAAAGTAAGCAAAAAAAAGCCCTCAGAGTAGTCAAAAATAGATGTTATGAAGTCTATATACAGCATACCCTATATACAGAGCCTCATCAAGTTATGAGTCATACAGTTAGACAAAGCTTGGTTCAAATCTTTGTTTCCCTACTTAGTAGCTGAGTGATTTGGGGCATTGTTAATCTCTCAGTTTCCTCATCTATAAAATGGGACGATAATTATCACCTCATGAGATTACTGTGAAAATTAAATGAAATAATAGATGTAGTTAATAGAACTTTTTAAAAATAGTAACTTTTATTATTGTTATTATCATTCCAACAATATAACTATTACTACTTTCTGGTTCACAAACCTAAGCAAGCTTTAAGGGTCGAGATGATGACAGTCTAACATTAAGGGAAGCCACAGAAAAACACTAGTTAAAAAAAAACAAAAAACGGATGCCCTGGCCAGGGGCTCGGCTGGTTAGAGCATTGTCCCATACACCAAAAAAAGTTGCAGGTTTGATTCCTGGTCAGGGCACATACCTAGGGTTGTGGGTTTGATACCTGGTCGGGGTGCATATGGGAGGCAACCAATGTTTCTCTCTCACATCTATGGTTTATAAGTGAAAAGAACACAAAATACCCTTGTGACCCAAAATCACTGTATTATAGAAGAGTAGAATACGTTAATAATAATGGCTGTAAATCATCAAAAAATATTATGACCCATTTTTGAAAGCCCAACCTGCAAAAACAGTAAAAATAAAACAAATTTGGGTGCTTAAAAAGGTAATTTTTCAAACTTATTAGGAAACTTCATCACTCCCTAAGGATTCTACATCACTCAAGTTTCATTAATACAATAAAAATTATAGCTGAAATTCTATGTAAAGGATAGGCAATAGAAAAAAATTACTATTCTTAACTTCCCACCTTCTCCATGCCACTCACACTTACCCCTCTCCATACCCCTCATGGTAAAGATTCATGTCAGAAACTTGAGAAAGTATAATATGGGAATTTTTAATATTATTATTGCTTTAATTATATTCTAGTCATGTTTTTTTTTTAATTTATTTTGACATTTCAAAACACGCCTTTCATAGGAGGGAAGTTCTTATGTTTAGTGCTGAGTACAGTTTTAAAAGGTTGAGAAATACTCCTTTTGAGCAATAGGCAGTTATCTGATAGGCATGTATTATGAGATAACCTTCTGATAATGAGAATGACTGTTATGAATCACCAGCAACAATAGTATAGACATTATTAGCTAGGAGGGTGGAGAAACTCCAGGACTTGGGATACTCTTCTATGACACTGGCAGGAAGGGAGAAAAGTAAGCTACAGAAAACCAAGGAGTTTGGTTACTTGGAAATAGTAGATGCTAAAAACAAATTAATTTACATGCTCTTAAAACACATCAGGATATAAAGATTTAAAGAATCAACAGAGAAGTATTTTTATATAACAAGCTTTCTATTAGAAGAACCACGTAACAAGAAAACTGGAGTACTGAATTTACCTGTTATACTACTTTACAGAACTAATAATCTTCTTTTTTTCTCTAGCCTGCCAACGACATTTGCAACTTTGGATATTGATGGTGTAAGAAAAATAATTTTTGCACTACCAGGTAAGAATAATTGAAACAGTTTATTTTACCTTTTCTGAAAAAAAAAAAAATGACCAAAAATGATTTTGAATCCCAAGTGACCAGTCCCTTATCAGAGTACTTGATTTGGAATCTAAATGACCTGGGCTCAAGTCCCAGCTTTACTTACTTGATGAATCACTTAACCTCACTGAAGGTGTTTCTTCATCTATAAAATGGGGCTAATTACTACTTCACAGGGTTGGTGTGAAAGTCAAATTAGATAGTATATTTCACAGCACATTCCAAACCCTAAAATGATAACCAAGTATTAGCTGTCACTGGATCTTTCTGGGGCACCTGCTTTTCTTTATAGGAGATCGGTCAAAGTTAGCAGCCTAACCGTGTCCCACAACTTGAAGTATTGTGCTCGAGGGGCCAAAGGGCTGTGGACCACAATGCAAATGCTAGAACAAAAAATACACAATTGCTTTTGGTTTGGGCCAAATTTGGACCGTAGGGAGGGGGGTGAGCAACGTGGACGGAGGGGCTACTAGTATTGGTGCTTCTCAGCCAAAATCCCAGGCATCATCAGTCTGACCACATCACTGTCCTCACACTCACTGCCAAGTGAGCAGAAACCCACAGGTTCAGATAGTGGTTATTTCAGCAGGGAAGGGGATGCGAATAACACTTTTTAATGTGTTTCTGTATTTTCTAAAAAGCCAAGTGGTTCCGTTCACAAGGACTTTTAAATTCAGCTTTTTATCGATTTTTGACTGTGTATTTAAAGCCGTGCTTTTAAAGCCATTACTCATCTTGAAAAATTCTAAAGCAGTTGAGAAGTTTTGAATATCAGCTTGGTTTTTTTTTTCCAATTTTAACAAAATTATCCTCTAATCTGTAACAGTGTCCCATTCCCTCTTTTTTTGACACAGGTTCCTTCAGAAAATAACCTACTTATTTTTTTATAACCTACTTATTCCTTTGAGATATTTATTTGCTTTTTATATTAAATAAGTCTCAAAATAGAGATATAAAGAAAAGAAAGAAAGCAGAAAAGATATAGGGCTTAAAAATCATTTTTAAAGCCCCAAAGAATTTATAAGCAAAAAAAGAGATTAGATTTCTATCATATAGGAAATTTTAAGAGAGAGGACATGTAAGGAAAGTAGTCTTCAAGTTTTATCTGTAGTATAGAACTCCTTGGAGCCTCTAATATATCCTTAGACATTTTAAAAACCATTATATAAAACTATGATCCTCTGTCTGGTTTTAATTTCCCTAGAAGACACTATTTACTTTGTCTACAGAAGCTATGACTCAGCCTATAGCCCATCAGTGACAAAGGATGTTACAGTGGGAGACTAGTTCACCATTTCTGAGGAAGTACTGTTTGTCTACCAAAGAAGTTATAATTAACCTATATTCAAATTACTACTTTCATTTGAAATTTTCTCTGCTCGGCCTGAATAAACCTAAAGAGGGCAGCAGGAGCTCACATGTTCAGACTGTAAAACCAGCGAAGAAGTTCCTTTTACAAGGATTTTAAAATTCAGAATTGTATTTCTGCTTTCCCAAGGGCCATGCATGAAAAGCCATTAGTAGGCTTCATAAGTTTTAAAGCAGTTTAAAAGTTTTGTGTATCGACTTGCTATTTTTGTAACTTTTTAAAATTACTGTATAACACATTCACTATAAAAACTTTAGAAAATGATGATAAGCATTAAGAAATGTTATCCATAATCCTCTTCCCCCTGAAATAACCACTATCCGAAATTTTCTATATCAGTCCTAACAGTACTATTTTTATAGAGTAATTTTATAAAGCAATAGCAATTACAGGAATTCTGTAATCATTGTTAAATGAACTGTGTTTTTTTCCAGAAAAAAATATTTATTTGTATTGTTGAGGCAAGAAAAGCAATTGATTTTTTATTGTTTAAAGTATTACATATGTCTCCTTTTTCCCTGATTGACCCCTCCCCTGCCACTCCCACCTTCCCCCACAAGCCCCCACCGCCCCAGTGTCCCTGTCCATTGGTTATGCTAATATGCATGCATACAAGTCCTTTGGTTGATCTCTTACCGCCCGTCCCCCCCCCCCCCCCATACACACACACCGCTACCTATTAAGACTGTAGCTCTGTTGGACAACTCATTTTCCATTGAAATAATAAGTATCACTCATCACCTTTTACAACTTAAAAAAGATATTCTTAACTACTTGTAGGAAGAAGAAAATTAAAAATAATGGTTTTAGCTAATAAGAGGCTAAATTAACCATTGCCTTTTACTTTGATGATACAATTAGCAGCACATAGCCAGGCCAAAGGGAAACTAAAAATCTAATAGCCCATCTTATACCTCTAGTATATACATACATATTCACATACTGCGAGAGTCCACAGCCAGCGTGGCTTTCAAAGGCTTGGGTTCAAAGGCTTGGAGGAAGAGCTGATGCACAGATGATACACAAGACGAAATCTTATTTTTAATACCAGGGGAACCAGAGGGCAACTTAACCATGGCAGTCAAGTTCTCCCTGTTGCTTCTTTCCCAGCTGCTTTCATTAGCTAGAATACACAATTGCCTTTAGGAATGCAAACAGACATATCAATGGTAATGTTTAGTAAACAGTAAGATTGTCAGGTTTTGGGGGAGTTTGCTTTAGGCCATTGAGTCAACAGCAGGTAATAAAATGTAGATATTCACCCTGAGAATATCAAAAGGAGTCCTGGTCAACCTTCTGCCAGACTCCTCACATTTATATCAATTACTGTTGATCTTGGTCTCCAGCAACATACAACTGTATAAAAGTATTAATAAAAATAGAATTTTAGAACCAGAAGAATATTGAGAATCATATAGTCCAACCTTTATTTTGTGAATTAGTTAAGTTAGACTCAAAAGGTTTGGAACTCACCAGGGTCACAGCTTGGTTAGTTAATATACCACACAAGAAACTACTATAAATGTGTTTTTCTCAGTCCAGTCATGTTTTCACAATGTACCTTTCCTATCTTTAAAGTGCATGACACAATCAGATTCCTTCTTGGAGAGGTACAATTGAATTTCTCAAATTTTTATTATAACTCTAAAAGAAATTGGTGTTTGAATTAATCTGCTCAGGCTGCCATAACAGAATATCACAGACTAGATAACTGGATTATAGATAACAGAAATCTGTTTTCTCACAGTTCTACAAGCTATATGGATGCAAATTTAGTTTCTATTGAGGTTTTTCTTCCTGGCTTTCAGATGGCTACCTTCTCCCTAGGCCCTCACATGGCCTTTCCTCTGTGCACAGGCACGCCTAATGCCTTTTCCTCTTTTTATAAGGACACTGGTTCTATTGAATTAGGGCCTCACCCTTATATCTCATTTAATTTTAGTTACCTCTCTAAAGACCCTATCTCCAAATAAAGTCACATTGGGAGTTAAGACTTCAACAAATGAATGGGAGGGAAAACAACACAACTCAGTCCATGCAGTATTTATCTTCAAGTCCTTCACATTTTAAATCATTTAGCTTTATATTTTAAACTTAAAGAAATGTCTATGTATAGGGGAATATGGATATTTTTTATGCTTATCCTACTTTGTAATTTTCTTTGTATTGAGCATATATTACTATGGAAGTTTTCAAACATAATAATAGCAAGTAGACAACTATAAAAAGGGGAAGGGGTGAATGGGGGGACATCTGTAATAGTGTAAACAGTTAAAAAAAATAGCAAGTAGAAACTGCTTTAAAACTTACCAAGATTGGTAATGGCTTTCAATGTATAGCTCTCAGAAAAGAAGAAATAAATGGTGTTAACCTCTGGATATCAGAAGTCTGCATTTCATTGGTAGACCCAGAAGGTTGTACCCTCTATGGCATTTGCTTGACTATACGTCTATTCTGGCATCCTTTTGGGGTTCAAGGTGATTCAGAAGAGAAAGACAAGTAGTCATGTCACTATGATACCTAAAGGTTTAGACAGTCATAATTGTTCGGTAAATTTATGTGGATACTACAATAACTGCGTGGTTGACTTTCAGGGAATCCTGTGTCAGCCGTGGTCACCTGCAATCTCTTTGTTGTGCCTGCACTGAGAAAGATGCAGGGCATCTTGGATCCTCGGCCAACCATCATCAAAGCCAGGGTAATGTTTTCTAATGACCAGGAACCAAAATAGAAGCTTAGTAACAGTTAAGGTTATGATCAAGATCTAGAAACATCTCGAGTTTTATATTAGTTTTGAGAAGAAATGGGGTTATAGTCTCTCCTTTGTGATAGAAAATAGAGGAAAGGGCCCCTTTTATTTCCCTCCCACATTATTTCATGACTTCTAAGGTGAACAATTTTCTCCAGCAAGAAGTCCATATGGTAATGGAGATATAATGACAATTTGATGCAACTGTTCTTGTTTCTTAAATTAATATAAATATCTCCTTCAAAACAACCCCATTTTGTAGATGAACAAACAAGTATCAGAAAGCAAAATAACTTGCTAGTACAGCCATCAGTTAGCAGTAAAGCTGGAAGTACAACCTAGGTATGGGTACCATCCCATTCCAACATTTGTTCCACTGTACTCCTACAAACCAATCAGTGCATTGTTGCGGGGGGGAGGGGGTGGGGGGCGGGACGGGACACCTGCTTAAACGCTTAGCAGATCACACAGCCATGCGAATAGCTCTTGTAGTTAGTAGTGGAGAACACACAAACAGAGATATTCAAAGAGAGATTTTGCCCTCAAACACAAAATAATTTAGGAGTAATCGCAAGTTAAACCCCAATTGATATGAAATAGAGTATAAACATAAGATTAAGTGAAAGTGTGGAGTGTGATTTAATCAAGAAAAACACCCTACAATTGAATTATATTCTAGACTCCAGAGGAAAAGCATGGGTTGTCAGAGTGAATAATTAGAATACTTAAAAACATAGTCACCAGAATGGATTGGACACAGACTTACTTAAATCAAAATTTCCAATTTTAATTGCATCATCCAATCTAAGCAATATCTTTGTTAGTTAGAGCTACAGCCTTTCTATATCATTTTAAGGTAAAGTGATTTAAATGATTATTATGCTAATAAAAAGTGTTAATTCTTGCTCTGGCCAGTGTGGCTCAGTTGTTTGAGCATTATCTCATACACCAAAAGGTCACCGGTTCGATTCCAGGTCAGGGCACATGCCTAGGTTGTGGGCTAGATGCCCAGTAGGTGACAAGTAGGAGGCAGCGTATCAATGTTTCCCTCACATCAATGTTTCTCTTTCTTCCTCTCTTTTTCTCTCTCTCTCAAATCAATAAAAACATATTTTTAAAAATTAGACCCAATCTTTTCATCTGCCTCTTCCTGAACTATGAATACCAACTTCTTGGCCTTCTTTTCTCTTTTCATCAGAGCAACCCAACCTCTGGATTTCCTGTATTAAGAATATAAGGTGGGCCCTACCTGGTTTGGCTCAGTGGATAGAGCATCAGCCTGTGGACTGAAGGGTCCCAGGTTCGATTCCAGCCAAGGGCACATGCCTGGGTTGTGGGCTCAGTCCCCAGTGGGGGTGTGCAGGAGGCAGCCAATCAATGATCCTCTCTCATCATTGATGTTTCTATCTCTCTTCCTCTCCCTTCCTCTCTGAAATCAATAAAAATATATTTTTTTAAAAAAGAATATAAGGGCCGAAACCGGTTTGGCTCAGTGGATAGAGCCTCGGCCTGCGGACTGAACGGTCCCAGGTTCGATTCCGGTCAAGGGCATGTACCTGGGTTGCGGGCACATCCCCAGTGGGAGATGTGCAGGAGGCAGCTGATCGATGTTTCTCTCTCATCGATGTTTCTAACTCTCTATCTCTCTCCCTTCCTCTCTGTAAAAAATCAATAAAATATATTAAAAAAAAAAAAAAAAAAAAAAAGAATATAAGGTAGCAGTGGCGGAAACAGCAGAATACCAAAATAATTTTCATGTCCACTCTATTCTTTGCACAAACTCCACCACCCTCTAGTTCTAAGAGATGATCCTAAAATGATCAAATTTGTTTTATTTTCCTCTCTATTCTATAGTTATCATGTGATGTAAAACTGGATCCTCGCCCAGAATACCATCGGTGTATACTGACTTGGCATCACCAAGAACCACTGCCTTGGGCACAGAGTACAGGTTAGTCATTCACACATACAGGTACATCTGTGCACTTATTCTGCTAAAATCACATGTATATAACCTCCTTCCTTGGGTATACACAATTTTAAATTATTATATATTTTCATTTTTGGAAGATTAGATGAATTAAATATTCTTAAACATACAGTATAACAGGACAAAAAAATAAAAAAAATTATAATAAATATTTAGTTATCCATGGAGCCATGTTTTCTAGATAACCATTTGAAAACAAACCTATAATTACAAAAGATTTTTATCTATTAGTTCAACCGGTAAGTTCTGAACATAATTTTGGTTGTAGGAACAGGAAAGACTGTGGCTATGCCACCTTAAAACACAAGAATAAAGCCCAATTATAATGTGATTCTCTAGAGCAGCGGTTGTCAACCTGTGGGTCGCGAACGATGAAAATACATCCTCCATCTCAGATTCATAACAGTAGAAAAATTACAGTCATGAAGTAGCAACGAAAATAATTTTATGGTTGGGGGTCACCATAACATGAGGAACTGTATTAAAGGGTCGCGGCATTAGGAAGGTTGAGAACCACTGCTCTAGAGCCTCCACTATACCCTAGATCTTGTTAAAATTTAAGGACTAAGAAATCGATATTGATAGTTACCTCTTCTAGACTTTAAACTTTTATCCCCAACTTCTCTCGTCATATTTTACCTAACTTTTGATGTAACACCAGTAAAATTGTATTGCCCTTGAAACAAAAGTCCTGTCAAGTGCAGATATCAACTAACACTGTGACAGGGGCCTTGCCATAAGAAAGTAGGACTCTAAGCAAGTTACCTCAACTCGTTTGAGTCTTGTGAGAATTAAATAAGATAGTTAAGTAAACCCGGCCGGTGTGGCTCAGTGATTGAGCATCGACCCATGCACCAAGAGGTCACTGGTTCAATGCCTGGTCAGGGCACATGTCTGGGTTGCAGGGTCAATTTCCATCAGGGAGCATGTGGGAGGCAATTGATCGATGATGTTTCTCTCTCATCAATGTTTGTATCTCTCTCAAATCAATCGAAACATATTTTTTTAAAAGATGGTTAAGTAAAGTGCCTATCACCTTGTCTGGCACTCAGTAAATACTACTAAAGAAATGGTAGCCGCTGCTATTATTATCATTATTTTAATAGATTTTAAAAGTCTTTCTTTTTCAGACACACATAATAGTTCAGCCTGAAGAGGAAAATTCTGTGGTGTTTTGCATAATGCTATAAATTCCTGGTTTATTCTTTTAAGCAATAATTTTTAATGTTTATTTTTAGAGTTTAGTGGCAAGGTAGTAGGGTACAGTAGCAAAGCTACCTGAAAAGGGTACTGGGAAGTCTGTTCGTATCTCTTCCTCTTGAAGACCTATGTTTCTATTAATGGCTTCTTACTTTGGAAGGAACTAGAGGGGCTCCAGATGTATCCATAGTGATGCTTCTGCTGTTGCAATGAGAGTATTTCTTTCTAGGTAATCAGATGAGCAGCCGTCTGATGAGCATGCGCAGCGCCAACGGATTGTTGATGCTACCTCCAAAGACAGAGCAGTACGTGGAGCTCCACAAGGGCGAGGTGGTGGATGTCATGGTCATCGGACGACTATGATGGTCACCAGCGAAGAAAGCTTTGATGCATGTCCACATATCATTGACTGTATCCTGTAATATGCAACGGCACAGCTAGTTTTTCTGATTTGGATAAAAGTTGATCTGTATAGTCAACATCTTGAACTATATTTCAAAAGAATTTAAATACCTTTTAAAGAAAAAAAAACACCTAAAAATAAATCTTAACAGATAACTCTATTCTGATTATATCAAAGCAAAATTTTCCTTTCTTGCAAATTGCTTTGTGTGTTCAATGCTAGGTCTGATAGCGATAGCTTTTAGTAGACAGCAGTAGGTGCCTGCAGAACTTGTGTTTTTCTCATCTTTAAACAACTACTTATGCTCTCAAATCAAGGCTGTCTGCTTATTTATACTAGCGTAGGCAACACTTGGATTTCCCTTCTTAGTATGCTTCATAACCGCTTTACAGAGAGCTTTCGCTTGTTCTTTATCCTGTATCTCGTGTTTATGTGCACAGTGCCAACAGAAGAGCGATTGGGGGAGGCCCTGCCCTGCCTCCAGGAGAGCCATCCCTCGCAGAGCTTCCGGGAAGTTTCTCACCCCAGGAGCCTCATGGCACAGTACTCTTGGGCAGTAACTGGATACCTTTTATTTGAACAATCTAACTGGGGGGAAATGCTTCCTTACGTGCTGACAGCCTTTTTAACCAATACGTTTAAAATTGTACAGAAAAAAAACATAAAATCAAAGACTGATCTTGTACAGATATTAGTGTTACCAGCATTCATGTGGAAATCAAGAGCAAAGAAAAAATAATGATAAACAACTCTGTACCATAACATTTTCTGTAATGATACTGAAACTTAATGAATAAAAAAAATCCTTGATCATTATATAAAAATCCATTGTGTTGGCCTCGTTATTAAACATTGTCATGTATTCTCATGGGGTTCTGCCTGGATGAAAGGCATATTTAAATGACTCAGCAAGATTAAGTGATATAAAGGAGATGTAAAGTGTGGCTTTATATAACTATATTTTATTACAGTAATGTGGTCTGTAGCTTTGTGAAAATACAGAGTAGAAGACAGTAGGGAACCTGTGGTTCGTCTGGTGTTTCCAGTCATAGCTAGAGAATAAGAAGCAAGTTTAGAGGAAAGATAGTTGATAATTTAGGAGCAAAATAACTAAATTCGTATGCCATAAAAACAAATTTCAAACATCTACAGTTCTTTGGAATGGAGGGGAAATGTAAGTAGTGCACCAGGAAATGTCAGATGAGTACCTTTTTTTATCATGTTTGAAAGGAAGTGAGAAATGGAAATAATCTGTGCTGATCATAGAAAATGCAACAAATGAAATATAGTTTATCCACGTGGTTCCTTTAATAAAAATTTAAGGGCACTTTTCAAATAGTAATAACAGGACACTGAATATGCTGTAGGTTATTCTTAGTAAAGCAAACAATAAAAATTGCCCTCTTAGTAAGCAAAGTACCAAGTGATGATGATGAATGAAACCAAATTGTAAACAACAAATATTTGATTCTAATATTTCATATCTCCAGAGTTGAAAATACAATGTCCTATATTTCAAGTTTTATACTTGCAATTAAAGAAGATAAGGTTAGTTAATAGAGTCAAGTGAAAGATTATGAACAGGGATTTACCTATATTCATTCAAGAAATATTTATTGATCACCTAATATGTGCTTGGGAACAACGTATATCATGCTACTATTTACAAAGATGAATAGAGATAGTAGCTAACATTAAACTCCATCAAGGGAAAAAACAAAAACACATAATATTTGGTATGTTTGATACTTGAAAATACATGGTAGAGTGTGTAGAATATGATAAATGGCATGATTCAGGTTTAAAGAGTTGGAGAAGTTCAAATGATTACCTCCTATAAGGTAAGATTTCAAGGGATAAGATGGCATTTTAGTGGGTCTTAAAGGAAGTGTGTATAATTTTAAAGATGATGCAGGAAAAAGGCATTCCAGAAACAGAATTATGGACAATTAATAATAATTATTTCTATTATAAAATGTAAGCCCCATGAGGGAAAGAATTTTGTTTATTTTATTCACTTACATTATCCCAAGTCCATAGAAGATTTCCTGGCATATGTGTAGGCATCAGTAAATATTTGTTCAATGAAATACATTATATAGAGCTTACTATATGCTCATTACTTTTCATTTGTTTAATTTTCACAACAACCCTGAAAGAATTATTATTTCTATACTAGATGCTTGATGCACGAAATTTGTGCAAGTTTAGGCCTTCCTTCCCCCGGCTGCCAGCCCCGGCTTCCCTCTGGCACCCGGAACCGGGGCTTCCCTTGCAGCCCCGGCTTTGTCCGGAGGACATTCAGTCTAATTAGCATATTAGGCTTTTATTATTATAGATTACAAATGAGAAAATTAAGGCACAAAAAGATTTAAGCAACCTGGCTTGAGAGTCTGTATTCTTAAACACTAAGCTAAAGAAACAGAAAATTGATAAAGAAGAGGGGAGGGCCATTGGAGCATCTTAGTGCAGAGTGTTGGAAGAAAAAATTCATGAATGGAATGGAAGGGAGAGCATTTTGTAGAAGAAAAGAAACCAGGTAGAGCAGTGTTCCAAAAACCAAGGAGGAGAGTTTCAAAAAGGAATGATGATAAACTGTAAAAAAGAAATGTCAAGAAAGATGAAGGCTCAGAAAGATTTGTTGATTAGGCAATTGTTGGTGAGCTACATAAGTGCAATTCAATAATGGGTTGAGGGCAAAAGCCAGATTACAAAATGGAAACTGTAAACTTGTGCATAAGGAAAATAGACACAGGATGGTAGCTTGAAACAAATACAAAGGGAATTTATATTTTAATTGAATTTACTGGGGCAACATTGGTACACAAAAGCATACAGGTTTCAAGTGAACAACTCAACAAAACATCATCTGCACACAGCATCGTGGTGTCTATTGCCCCTAGCAAAGTCTCTTTCCATCCCCTTTCCCCACCTCCACTTCCACCCCACCCCTCTTTTTCTCTGGCTAACACCACACTGTTGTCTATGTCTAGGTGTTATAGATATATACTAAATATACTAGAGGCCCGATGCATGAAATTCGTGCAAGAGTAGGCCTTCCTTCCCCCAGCTGCCGGCACCAGCTTCCCTTATGGCACCTGGGACCCGGGCTTCCCTCACAGCCCCGGCTTCATCCATAGGGTCGTCCGGAAGGACATTGGGTCTAATTAGCATATTATGCTTTTATTATTACAGATATATATATATATTTTCACTAGAGGCCCAATACACCAAAATTCATGCACTCAGGGGGGTCCCTCAGCCCAGCCTGCGACCTCTCACAGTCTGGGACCCCTCGGGGGATGTCCGCCTGCTGGCTTAGGCCTAAGCCGGTAGTTAGACATCTCTCTTGCAGTCCGGGACCCCTCGCTCCTTACCGCCTGCCTGCTCGCTGCTCCTTACACTTGGCTAGCTGCTCCTTAGCACTGCTGTGGAGGCAGGAGAGGCTCCTGCCACCACTGCTGCACTTGCCAGCAGTGAGCCCGGCTTCTGGCTGAGTGGTGTTCCCCCTGTGGGAGCGCACTGACCACCAGGACACAGCTTCTGCATTGAGTGCCTGCCCCCTGGTGGTCAGTGCGCATCATAGCGACTGGTCATTCCACCATTTGGTTGATTTGCATATTACCCTTTTATTATATAGGATGTGTGTGTGTGTGTGTGTGTGTGTGCGTGCGCGCGCGCACGCGCATGTTTTGCTTAATCCCTTCTTTTATCCAGTCCCCAACCCCACTTCTCTCTGACAGCTGTCCGTTCCACATATCCATACCTCTGTTTCTATTTTGTTCGTCAGTTAATTTTGTTCACTAGATTCCACATATAAGTGAGATCATATGATATTTGTCTTTCACTGACTGGCTTATTTCACTTAGCATCACAGTCTCCAGTTCCATCCGTGTTTTCACAAAAGATAAGATCGCCTTTTTTTTTTTTTTTTTTTTTTTTTTTTTTACAGCTGAGTAGTGTTCTATTGTGTAAATGTGCCACCACTTTTCTTAGCCATTCATCTACTGATGGGCCCTTGGGCTGTTTCCAGATCTTGGCTATTATAAATAATGCCAAGGAATGAACATAGGTGTGCATATATTCTTTTGAATTAGTGTTTTAATGTTTCTTAGGATATATTCCCAGAAGTGGGATGGCTGGGTCATAAACAAGTTCCATTTTTAATTTTTTTAAGAAACTCCACACTGTTTTCCATAGTGGCTGCACCAATCTGCATTCCCACCAACAGTTGTACAAGGGTTCCCTTTTCTCCACATCCTTGCCAGGACTTGTTTGTTGATCTATTGATGATAACCATTCTGACAGGTGTGAGGTGATATCTCATTGTGTTTTTCGTCTGTATCTCTCCAATGATTAGTGACATTGACATTTTTCATATGTATATTGGCCTTCTGTATGTCTTCTTTGTAGAAATGTCTATTCAGGTCCTTTGCCCATTTTTTAATTGGGTTGTTTGTCTTCTTGGTGTTGAGTACTATACATTCTTTATATATTTTAGAAATTAACCCCTTATCACATGTATCATTGGCAAATGTATTCTCCCATTTAATTTAAAAGTTAAGATTTAATGAAATAGTTCTACTTGATACAGTGGAAGTTTCAATGTCATCTAATCTATTTGCATTATTTGACCAAAATTATTTTAGAATTACACATATATGATGTTTTATATTCTTTGTCTTAGTAGTTGGTGTTTAAATAAAAGACTATAGAAGATGTTTTTAGATTCCTACTTAAAGCTGTGTGGAAGGTAAGAAGCTCCTTTTTAACCTGCTTTTTTGGTTCTATTGTGTGGGTTGTTTCATATCACACAATGAAGAAAAGAATATAAGCAGTTTAGTTTACCAAGTTAAGTGATGTTGCATATTATAGCAAGTGGATTCTTTGAATGGCTTTCATTTTTTCAATTATTTGCCAACTAAAGTTTGTGGATCTAACCCGTGATGAACTCTTGATCTTCATGAAATCCTAACAAGGTAAGTCATTATTATTCCCAATTATATAAAGTGGATATTTATGTAAGTGCATAATTCAACGCAGATAAACTACGTATCTTGTTATTCCAATGATGATGGATCAAAGTTAATAATACATTGCATTTTAACTTGCTTATAAGAAATATTAAGACTCTGATTTGGAAATTACTCCTGGATTCCACTAGTCATTAGTGTTAATAAATGGGTTCCTCCCTTTCTCTAAAAAAAAAAAAAAAAGAAATATTAAGCCCGACTCTATAACAGAAAGGTATAGTTACAGAGTGCATCAATAACTCAGCCTAGAGCCAAAGAGTTAAAGAATTGCTCAATTCTGGCCATTTTGTATGGTCAGTTACCAATATTTCTCCTGTAGTCTTTTGCAATAATAATTTATTAAACAAGCATTTATTACATTTTTACAATAGTATGCCTGTCTCCATGCTAGGCATTGAGGATACAATGATGAAGGAGAAAAAAACTGATATCCAACTGAAGGACATAGATTATGAGAAAGCAAAACCAATTTTTGTAAATATAGATTATGAAAAGTCTATGAAGAAATGTAATGATATGTTAGCGAGTAAGTGGGTAGAGGCTTAAATCATATTCAGTTATGGTGTTAGGGTCCAGCCATTAAAAAGGACAAAAGTCACACTAAGAGATTTTAATGTAGGAATACGTTAAATAGGTATTGAGACCTGAAAAGGCTCAAAGGAAACATTAAGGTGTCAGAGGTAATAATACAGGAAGCAACTACCACCACTGGACTGGGAAGGTGGGTAGAAGAAGAGTAATCAGAATCCAGAAACTTGGAGGTCAGACCATACTCAACCCCCTAGGAGAGAAC